TATGCAAAACCACGTCGGTTGGGATTTTATTTCGTGTACAGTATGTTAATATGCGACTGAGACGTATTACCGAAATTTTATTACACCGAATTCATATAATTTTTGGACAACTACTTATCACCCGAAAATTTGATACATTTACATTAAACGCTAACATCTTAAATAATATATTATACAATTTTATCTACACGAATATGCGATTGTATTGCAGTGTTTCATCATATAATACATCACTCATATCTTAATTAATTCTAAGGAAATGTTTTGACCGACGATCCAAATAGCTTACAGTTCTTTCTTGTTCTCCGTCTCTTATATATTTTCATATATAAAATATATATATATATATATATTTAATATAAATAAAGATATAAATATATATTTTAATTATCTATTTTCGAATAAATCTATAATGTTATACGTAACTGTACTTTTTCTTCCGAATTTTCGTGAAATTACTGAAATACTATTTGTATAATAATAGGTAAATATACCTATATACTATTTACAACTCTAACAAAGAAAGAATACAAATTACTATCGAAATTATATTGTTTGTATATTTGTAATAATTTACAATCCCAGAAAGTCTTTTTCTAGTTCCGTGAACACAAATCATTGAAAAATAGCCATTAGGTTACTACTAGGTGAATTAAATTACAACGAATAAAACATTTATAAAAAATAATATCGAATTATCGAACAAAATAAACTACACAAAATAATAAATGTTATCAAAATCAACCACCGGTCGAAAAACGTACAGTACAAAATAATGTATAATATATATAAATATAAAATTAACGTATATTGTAATTTCTAGTTTAAAAAAAAAAATTGTATTTGTATGTATAATGTATATTTGGTGTAAATGAGGTAACCTAACCTGTTATAGGATAGGACATGTTTTCTAAATAACGAACACAATAATACGAGTGTGACAATAACTACATTGGACGATTACGTGACTACGATTGGTTAGGATTCTGAATCCTTCCTCGTAATAAACAAATATAATAAGAAGTAGGCATCTTGTATTATGGTCTTAAACCAAGATCTGACGCGAAAAGACATCAGTTTAGTACTTCGCTAACACCACAAAATGCATTCGCATAACTTTGAAATTAAGTCTGAACGACAAATCTGTAACCTACGATAAAACCACAATATCATGTAGCGTAAGTCATTTTATAATATTTATGCGATATTACTAAATACCTACGGAAAACATTTACCAAAATCACATGATATTCTACTCGACTTCGACTCTTACACATGCCTTTCTTTGCTAATAACGCCCCGGTTAGATCATTATTAGAATATAATAATATTTATGATGCAGTCGTCACTCGTCTAGTCCCTCTATATAAACAATGACTTGATAATGCTCAGAACCGCTTTATCGGCTTTGCCGGGTACTGTTTAAATATTACCCATTCATCGCATTATTTTTTACGGTCTTGTTAATTCCAAGATATTTTATGTACGCTACTGTTTTAAAAAAAATCCGAACCACGTCAATTTTTATATAAATAAAATACAGTTTTAAATTTTCATTTCCGCGTATTTTATAAACATAATAATTATAATATGATCAACTTTTTAATAGTGGGTAACCATTTATTAATCTGGCATAACTCAACATATTTTCTTTCGTTGACCTTGACCACAGCATGCTATAGTTAAGGTTGACCTATTAATTGATAATATAAGTAGAACATTTTTAGCAAATAGAACCATATCGTAAAATTAATTAGCCGCTTATCCGGTCTACATGCAGAATTATTTTTGTTTTCCGCTATCGTTAGTACCTGGCCGCGAAGAAATCGGACTGATATTTTCCGCAAGATAAATTATTAACATTTGATAAACATAAACAGATGAACAAAACAATTTTAACATAGGCCGACCGATATATTGAATAACATCGTTGTCTGAAATGTTGTTTATTCAGTTAAACGATTTTTACACTATAATAATATATATATAGCATCACCAACCTACCGATATTTTAATAGATATCCCGTTTAAATGTATTCAATTTGTACAATCGATAAAATAGTATTATTACATTCTAATAACGTTTATAACACATAAGTATATAATATGATGTGTGCTGCTATTATACACTCATTCTGAAAGAAACTGTTATTTATGGTATGCGGCGTAAAAATATGTCACATACCTAAGACCGGAAACGTATGAAGACGTATCTACAGTATATAACAGTAGAATTGTTTTCTGATACTGCTATGTAATACATTATGAAGAAAATAAACACAATTATAAAATTCTAAAAGTCCATTAAAAAAAATATATTATTTTAATTAATGTGATGATCGCGTTTACTATATAGGAACTAAAATAACGGGAATAATAAAAAAAAAAACACAACTATATATTATACTATAAATACCTATATAATGTACGCTAATAAACACGAAATAATTCTGCGTTGTTATCACGCGTAGGAGCTCATTAAAATAATAATATACTTTTACATATTATTTTGTGATTTTTTTTTTTTTTTACCCACACGAATCTCCAAGTGCAGTAAAGACCATTAGCGAGTTTCGGTTTGAAGCTGTGCAGTAAGCGAAGAAGGGGATGTACATTTATGGTATTGTTATAGTGTAGGTTATGTGACTTTTATTATGGCTCTGCGGAAGCCGGACACTAGAAATCATCGGTTCTACTTAAAGATAACCAGTCCGACAACACTATCGCAACTCCCAATTTATTGATTTACAAAGAACATTTTACAATCAAATAACCGTATTGAATTCTTCGCGATACACTTATGGGCTTCTTAGTACTTCGATACAATTAAAAATATCTAATACCGATATTATTTTTCTTATTCATTTAAAAATTATTTTAAATTTTAACGAATATACGCTGTTATTATGTATTTATATTTTATGAAGTAGATAATATATGTATATAATGTATTTTCAATTTTAAGGATACGAATATCAAATATTAAAAACAAAAATATATATACAGTTGTTATTTGTCGGTTTATTATTCATTATTCTCAATTCAACTATATAAGAGAAAAATAGTTTTTTTACCATTATAAAATATTATTAATAAAAAAAAAAAAAAACACAAGTATCTATACCAATTAAACGCATTATATAACTAAATTATAACCCTAAAATATACTAAAAACACTGAATGATTTGTATGTAATCCGTTATCAATATACAATGCATTTATTATAATATGTATTTATATTTGTATATCATCAATACTTAATAAAATTAATTATTTAATTAACTACAACTTACCTAATAATTAAATACAACGCGTTAATGCTATAATTACCATAGTAGTATACAATACAACTAAAGCAATTTCATAAATAACTCATCAAAATTGAAATTATAATACAAAAATTGAATAAATTTTCACTCAATTTTTATTTGGTAGGTACTCAATGGATAAAATTGTAAGATCGAACAGAAAGTCTTAAAAATTATACACGTGGTTCATTATAAGTCGTAATTCCGTTTTTTCCCACAGTGCTCTTATTTTAAAAATAGGGTTGAAAATCAAAAATTCAAAAAATCAATTTTTTCAAAGTTCAATCTAGACAACTTGAGCTTTCAAAAAAGTTGCTACACGTAAAAATCGGAGCAAGTTTTATTAAGAAAAAACGTATCCACATACTAGTACAAAGAAAAAAGAAAAAAAGAAATAAACATCTTAGTAAAACCAATAACTCCCCTCGCTACGCTCGGAATCTAAAAAATATGTATAATAGATCAAATTGAGGGTATCAAAAATAACGTGCTTAGATATATTTTATTTGGTTAAAATATATTATATTCCAAGGCCTCGGCATTGTACAAGTTGTAATAGTTTTCTTAGCTTTTTAGATATATATTTCTTTATGAACAAAATGATTGTTGGATATTTCTCTTAAAAAAAAAAAAAAGTATTATTAAATTACAGTTATATTGATGATCCTTTTTTTTTCTACAAGTTACGTGAACTTTAAGATAAATAGTCATAAATAATAATATCCGTGATACGAGTTTATTTTACACACCACATCAATCACAAATAATGACATCTTCTCCAACTATAAATAATATTTTTGTTAGCTACCGATAATATTGTTTTAGATTCTTCAAAAGGTAGTGAATAATAGTTAATAGGATTTATATTTTTCTAGGAAAACACTTTTCCAGTGAACAATTGCTCCGATTTTTCCATGAAAAAGATGTAGATTTTTCACCCGGTGATACTTTATTTAAAACAAATGTCTAGGTTTCCGGCAGATTTTCTAAGTGATTTTATAAACCCGATAAAAAATTTCGATGATATGTTGGTTTTATTTTTTCTGATTTTTGGATTAATTTGGTTTTTAACTACAAGGGTGTAAAAAATGACTAATACTATAAACTTACCATTTTACTTAGCTCCATTCATAATCGTTTTTCGATTGCAATGATTCATCTTTGCTTACACTATATAGACTAAATTACCCGATTCTATACATTCCCAACTTTCCATCAACAACACAGTGATGAGTCTGTGACCTACCCATAGTGCGATGTATGTCCGGCTTTCACTAAGTTTATACTTCTTCCGAATCCATGTATTCTATTTGTTTATTATACTAATCATATTAACATTGTTTTTTTGTCTACGGTTTTTAACAATCAGACTTAACGTGTTATCTATATATCAGTTAATACCTAGCAATGATAATAATAATACGTATACGCTATTTCATCGATATCAAGTCCGTTTGAGCGCATGTATCCGTCCAAAATCCTACAACCATATTATCCGAATTCGGACAATACGCGCACGCGGACGAGAAGTGTCCGGATGCTAACCGTATACCGTGCATCTGATACGTATTATATTCAGAGTCTTTCGTCCGTGCGTCCACAGAAATCGCGATTTGATGGTCCACTTTGTGCCCGTCTTATTGTGTCCCGTGTCCGGAGGTATATTGATTTATGCAATATTAAATTAAGTTATTGGAATCCGATAAATAATAGATCAAAGAATCGCGAACGGAGAAGAGACGGGCATATTTTTATACTGTGCTGCAGTAATGTGTATTTGCGAGATAAATACTGCTCCTCAAAACGGATGATGGGCTTTAAAAAAAAAAAAAAAAAAAAAAAAAAAAAAAAAAAAAAAAAAATAAAAAACAAAATAACAAATAAATAAATAAATAAATAAATAAAAGAATATACTTACGTATATGAAGGAGAAAAAATGCAGTCGTCCGAGCCGCCGCCGCGTGTGCAGACATGCTATTATCAAAGGTGCCGCTATATTCCTGTGAATTGCGGTTGGTAGCGGTTCCAGTTTCCCGTGAGGACCGGTTCCCCCGTTCGCTCTTCCTGACGGCGGCGGCGGCGGACGTACACGCTGCCGCCGCCGCCACCCGTGATCGTGGTCGCGGTCTCCCGGCAGCGTTGTCGGTCGGTTACGTGGTTACGTCGTACACGCGAAAGAACCGACCGCCGTTCCGCCGGTACAGGTAGTATAGTAGTGTGTCTCCACGGGTCTACGAATACGTGCGCCGCACAGATGTTCGCGCTACTACAACTACGTTATTAAAAAAATACCATTTTAATAATTCCATCGTATCGTTAGTGTTTCACCGCGTACCGTTGTATTTTACAATAATTATTTCATTATAATTTTGTGTTCCAGCCGTGTGTACAATATCATTTCGGTTATTCGGTTTCACGCGATATCGAAGAATTGTTACGGGGTTATTATTATTATTCGTTTACTTTTTTTTTTTCTGTGTAATGTGCGACCGGCGACGTACACAAAAAGATCACTGAGTACGACGACGAGTATACAGGTATAATTAGTAATATGATCGTTTTTGCGTGCCGGAAAACCGTTTGATCGCGACGCGGGTCCGCGACAGCAGCAGCAGCAGCAGTCGTTTACCGACGCTCTACGCCCGGACGCGGATACGTATACTTGGACATTGCCGTCGACGTATCGTTTTCCCGACCAAAACCGTAAGTTTACAACCCCGAACATATTATCGATATTGTATAATTAACACCATTCGTACCGTTCGAAACAAACCGCGAACGACATAAATTGTAAAACAAATTCGGACTCGCATTCGCCATCCGTAGAGCACTCGAATCGACTGCCGATGCGTTTCATCATCATTTTTTCAATCGTTTGGTTTGATTCTCCGTCGGCGTTGAAATTTTCGTAAATGATGACAGTTCACCGCGCCGTAACACACCCGTTGAAATATTATAGTATTACATCATTAAAACCATCGTGAAGTCTGTTCCGCGGGATCTCATGTACATTTACACTAATAAATAATAACAATTACAATATTTGTACCCGAACGATTATTTTATAGTATTCGACAGTCACCGTGACCGACCGCGCGAATCATTATACGTCCGTCATGACGCGTTTACAGGTTACGGGTTCACGACGAAGTCGAAAGAACCTTAATATAACTCGGAGCCCAGCGTTCAGATCTCCGAGATTTACAAGACATTCTTAGTTCTCGTTTATCCGTTCGTCAGCTATGCGGAAAAACTCATCGCGTCTTGTTTTTTGCTCCGTTGTACCGAACTCCGAAGTATGGGTACGCGACGTTAGATTTGATGGCGATTTATTTTACTAATTTCATTCGCTATACTCGCGTTCGCGTCCGATACAGTAATAATACAACACGGTACACTAACTGCAATATACAATAATAATATTGTATTATACTAATAGCATAGCCGCGTTACTTTCATATTGTGCACACCGCATACATTTCGCTACAATGTTATTATGTTTGTAATCTGCGCAATATGTACCGCGGGTACTAGCGATCCGAATAACACGGAAATGTATTATTATTATTGTTGTTATTAGAACACGCGGCATAAAGTTCGAGCCGTTTTACGATCTATGTGTCTGCAGTAACAAGTATTATAAGTATATAGTCGTAGTAGATAGTTGTAGTAGTCACTATAGTTAATCGACCGCGGCTTCGACGTTGTTTATTTATAAGTCCGTAATGTCGTGGGAGGGGAGGGAGGGAAGGAGAAATCATATACATTCGCCCCGGTCAATAGCGTTTAAATTCGAACGAGCCCGAGCGATAAACGAAATCGGATGACGGACACGTCCGATCCGTCAAAAAACCGCCCATATATACATCCGATAAGACGGTATTTTTTTATTGAGAAAAATCGTGTACCGGTATGACAACGCCGCAGCACATCCGTGTGTGTCGTCATTGCCAGTGTGTTTCTCGAAACGAAAAAGTTCGGTTCACAGAGTTACGGAATCGGAGCCGAACAAATCGCCCGTCGTACGAGAATTCGTAGCTTATGATGATGTACATTATAATATATTCAAATCGAATAACCGTTAAAACTATACGATATTATCGATCGATCGCGGTGTCAATTAGTTAATGTACCGGAAACGAACAAGAAAATACTATCCACATAATATTGTAACATATAGTTTCGGTGATTATTCCCTCCCTCTCTCTCCTTCCCTTCGATAAAAACCTCGGTCGACAGACCATTATAATATTCTATTATACGCGCCGTATATAATAATAGTTAATCCTTTTAAATTGATCATTGCGGTTAGCCGCACACACGCGGCCACACGCACGCACACACACACACACGTCTTTCAGCGGGTACAAGGTATCGGTGCATATTGTATGGTGGCAAGCGGGTATACCTGTACGCCGCGATCATTACGGTTAATAATGTTATTTACAAATTATACAAGTTCATCGCGTGAACCTCGTTAGTGAACACACTGTATATTGTGCGCCATTGATTCTTGTATATGCGCGGCATAATATAATATTATATACGGTACAATCATAAACGATTTGTTCCGGCGATATCATTCTGCTGGGGGGGGGGGAAACTGATTAGTGGCCGACTGACTTTACGAAAAATAATGGTGGTTTTTTTTTTTTTTTTGGTTTTTTTGCTCGGCGATTTTTAAAATAATAATATTGTAGCCCGTTGGATTTTATTTCCGTTGTTTTGCGCGTCGATTTGACGGACTCGGGTGAGTTTATATAGGGGACGATCATCAATCGCCTCATTAGTTTCGCGTATCTATAGCAAATTAACAACGCTATATTATTCGATCGCGTGAAATTCAGCTATCGTCTTCGCCCGCCGATGCATATAAACAACTGTTTTATTAATATTTTGTCACTTTTCGGTTATTAATAGAGCAACGGGATTCATAAGCTACACAAAACGAGTCTTTAATTGTTCACGCCAAACTTCCTCCACCATTACCACCACCGCCACCACTGGTAGGTAGGTCGCGAGTATCATGCTTCACGTCTTCTTGAAGGGTGCGCCACACGCCGTGGGAAAACTTCTATATAGTATGGTATCATCGTATAGATATAGTCGGCATTGTGATTTTGTATGTGTGTGTGTGTGTGTGTATGTGTAAATATAATATAAGTAGTGTGTGTGTGTGCGTGTACAGAGTCGATGCCCTGTCTACTGTGGTCACCTCTCTTCCGGCCCGGGCCGGCTCACGGGTTGTAGAATGCCGTTGGGTCAAGGCTATAGATGCTCCCGCCGCCACGGTGATCGCCATACAGACTCGCGCGCCCCGCGATGCTTTCGTAGGCCAATAATTCTCCCACTGCGGTTTTCGTCGTTGCCACCGCCGTCACTACTGTCCGCCACTTCAAGATCGCCACTATGTGTGCGTGCGTGTGTGTGTGTGCGCGCTCATAAGTGTATGTGCGCGCGCGCGCGTGTGTGTGTGTGTGTGCCACCTGACCTAAATTAACTCGTGTACCTGATCCGCCCGCGGCGTATAGGTGCGCGCTGACGAAAAATAAGAAGTGAAAAAAAAAATAAAAATAAAAATCGTCTGTACGGCCCGCGTGCAGCGTAGGTATATACGTATATAATACGTGTACCTACCGAACCGGCAGAAACCGCGTGCGCGCAAAACTTCAGTGCAGATTTTATTAATATAATCGTTTCCAAATCCGCTTATTAGTCATACACATTGCGGATTGTATTCGTATAGAGTCTCGTACCGTTTTCAGAGCATATAAAACACGTAATTTTTATTCCTCGGCGTTTGCCTCGGCGAAATGAATGGGTACGTCGTTGTAGCGTTCCAATATGAAAATCCTAATAAAATAAGCCAACACAAAAAAGGCACTAAAGATCGCCGTGAGTTTACCTCAACAGTAAATAAAATTATCTGTTTTATTGAATTTTTTATATGTGCATTATAATATACGAAGAGAGAGGGAAATGAGTTATCCGGCTTCCATACATTAATTTAGACGGTGGGGAGTTTAGGTATTTTAGGATTTGGTCCAAAAAAAAAAAAATGGTGTCTCCCATAATCCGGTTAGGACACCAGACAGGTTTGATAATGTCAGCCCCGGGGCCCCCTTCCTTCATTCTTGTGCCCCTGCTCGTATACACCACTGCCGCACGTGAAGCACACCCGGTCCCGTCGACGATCATTATTATTATTATTACCAGCCATGGTTTAACCACGCACGCGCATCAACTTTGGATGGTCCGCCACAGCCGCCAACGGTTCATTTGAAATTCATAACAGGTCCGATACTGATTGTAAGAATGTCAGGAATTTGACCGACTGCACCGCGATGGGCACGCTTTCCAAATAATATAATATGTCTCTCGCGCTGCTTACGAGCACGCGACGGCGCAGGTGCGATGACGTCACCGGGACATCCGCTCGTGTTTCGACCGGTGACTCGCTGTCCGAAGGAAATCTGACCGGTCCCGCCACTGTTATTATCATACACACACAAACACTTAATTTTATACAAACACGCGGTTCTAAAAGGCCGAACCCAGTGCCGAGGGGATCGGAGAAGCACTGCCAGCTAGAAGCGTTCGTTTAGAAAATAAAAGAGGCCCTAAATTTATAAAAATCCGAAAATTAGATTAAAACAATATCAACAACACCGCATGACAAAAACTGTCTAAATGATTAAAATTAAAAACATATTTCCTATAAAGCCTATACGAAACAAAATTGTGTCATTCCGCTCAAATTGATTTATTTTCGACCACAACTTATGGAGACAAAGCGATGTAATCAGAATTCACCTAAATCGAGTAAAAAATTTAAACCATAGAAAACTACAAAATAATAAACTATAGATAACTAAAAAAGTATTTTGGAAATGTATACTACGTTACCAAATGCTAACATGAGTATTCGGTGATCATTTCTGGGTTCTACAATTATTTCCCATTACAGAAAAAAAAAATAAATATTCCAATTTGTCGAGGTTTTCTTCGGTTTTCTACTATTATAAAGAAAACTCATGGAATAATAAACAGTAACCATCACAGGGTACTGGTTTCATATGCGATCTACATTTATTTCTTATAGAATTTTTCGTCGCGAAAGTTTATTATTATTTTATTACAAATTGATATTTTCATTTTACTTTCGACAGGGCCTGATCAATCAATAGGCTAAACAAACTGCAGCCTACGGTGCGGTTAAATTGGGGGCATATGGATTTCTCTCAAATTGTTATCTGTATGTATCAGTGACCATAGGCGTAAAAAAAAAGATCATCGCGGAATCAACCTCAGACTACTGGTGCCAAATCCATTAATCAGTTCCTGTCTGTCAGTTTAAATATCGTTATATAGTCGTCCGTTGACTATTGAAACATTATTGTTAATTTTTTTTCGTCGTTATTTTTATTCTTATATATTGTATATCCATTATGACGAACCCGACCATATTTAATAAAATTAATTTCAATAATGGCAAATCGTATTTCATTGTTTACTATCGGTAGATCGCTTACGAAACTAGTAAGCAAAATGTAAATGACATGTACGAGACCGGTACCCGTATAACCCATCCCAATGGGTTATATTGGGTTATATTGGGTCTCGCTTCTTCTTCTATATTATACTATACGCAATATCGGTTAACCATTTTCCGTAACCTACAGTCGCGGCACGCATACGGCCCGCAAACCCCTCGTTGAACGGTCTCACACGATCCTCCACCCCCCCCCCCNCCCCCCTCGTCCGCCCGCCAAAAAACACACGCGTTATAAGTATTATCGCAGTGTATACATGCGCGGCATTGTCGCAACGTGACAGAAATGTTAAAATTCATTAAATCCAGGACGGCGCTGACAATGAACTCACGGGCGAACAATAGGAATCCGCGACGTCGCCGCCCAACAGCCGTCATCATCCGATTCATGCGACCGATCGACCGATGGGATACCTGTTGCCGCACTACGGAAAGTAGGTCGATACGCCAAGGAAAAGAAAATCGAAACGCGAAATAAACACTATATGTATATAATATAATTATATCGTATGCCGCATTGACGAGTCCGCTAATCCGATTAATGACGTTATTGCGGAGACGAAGAAAATATCGTCGTCAATAATAAGAAAACCATTTGTCGATGACAAAAAAAAAAAAAAAAAAAAAAATAAGTCCACTATATACACGCGCGCGCGCGCAGATTTTCTTTCTTCCTTTTTTCTTTTTTTTTTTTTTTTTTGTCAGATAAATACTTTTCATTGATGCCGCGCACTATCCTGTATACCTACTGTATTATCGCCGCGACAACACGCCTTGTGAAGAACAACTCGTTTCCATGCATCGCATCGTTTTTCTGAGAATCTTTAGAACATATAGATTTAATAATTTATCCGGCGCGCTTAAAACGGACACTGTACGGAAACCCGTTTCTTTCTTCCTTGTGATGTTTTTTATTTTTTTTTTCTCATCTTTCATTCTCACGCGACAGACTATGAACGCCGTAGGTACAGGCTACACAGACGCATTGATTATTCTTTTTGTGTTTTTTTTTTTTTTTTATTTCTAATATTTTTCGTCATTCATTCGTTTGGTTGTATATACAATTCACGGACAGCGAAAGTAAATCGCACGTCGTCGTAAAAACTACAAAACGACTGACATACAATAAAAGACGCCCACGTGTTATCGAATTACCACGTGATGATGAGGACCCGACAAGGTGGTGGTACGACTGAATACTGATGATGATGAGTATCATGAGTTCTTGTCAAAAAGTTGTTTGTTTATAATCATAGCATTTCGTTTCACAACGTTAAAAATCCGACACTTTCATAATATATATATTAAATTTTGTATATTTTAAGATTTTCACATTTTCAAGGCATATTTCAGATTTTATAATTTTTTGAGGGCAGCGAGGAATGTATTGGTTTTATATTAAGATGTACATTTTTTTTCATGTCTATTAACGATTATGAATAACTTGTCAGATAAACTATTGCTATCTGGGACTCTTCTATCAGAAATATTGTTTCGAACTTCAAGCATAGCACCTTTTCTGAAAGAAAATCGTACATAATTAATAATTTAATTTGTTGGTGGGTTTTCTTAATAATTAGCATAAAAGGTAACAAAAACGGGAAAATTTACCCAATACGGTTTATCGTTGCGTACATGATATATAACAAATTATAACTTTATATACCCTACCTTCCCAACTTCCCACCTACAATAAAGAAACACCCGTCAATACCTACTCTATTTTATTTTTTAATCTATTAAGTAATCAAGCAATCAATAAATACCAATAAATCGTTCAAAAATTGTATAAATATTAACTTAAGTATCCGAGTTTTAGTCATATAAATATTTTCTCACATTATTTATCAATTCCGTTCATTATAGTATGATAGGTTATAATTTATTTTCAAAATATTATTATTGACAATCTGTAATCGAAGGAATTCTTTTCTTTTTTTAATGTTTTCTCTTAAGACAATGAACACCACTAAACAAGTACGTATAGGGCCGTGGGGGCCCATGAAATCGTATGTACTTTAATCATATAATATTACATAAAATATAGAGATGTAATACATATTAATAGAAAATTGTTAGTTTGACATGTATGACATAACACATATTTTTGATGTGTAATTTTATGTATTGTAGATTAGTAACTACTTAAGGGGATTGGTTAACTATTTACCACATTTTATCCGATGTTATTCAATTTGAAAATATTTTTTTAGATAATAAATTTCAATGACCCCTATAATGATAGACTTTTCCACTTATCCGATACCTATTTAAGGGAAGGGGTACTGTTGTTTTAGGTCAATAAAAAATTTTTTATTCAATTTTGAAAAATTATTATTATTCTTTATTTGTATATTCTTTTCTATGATAGGTAGGTATGCAATTGAAATTAATTTTTTAATTTTTATAATCTTTATCGTAAGTAAAAATCATAATATTTTAAGTACATTTATAAAAATAAAATAAAATCAATTCTCTTTAAGATTTTCATACAAATAGTTAAATTTATAATTCTAACATATCCCAGTAAACTGTGAAAAACTTAAAGAATCATAATCCGTTTTTAAAATTGAAATCTGTCAAATGCAATTCCAACCGTTTTGTCTAGATTCTAGATCTAAATCAAATAAAATGTATACCATCACGAATCGCATACAGCAATGTAGAGGCATCTATTCTGCTATTTGGTGATATCAGTTATCTTTAAACCCTTTATAATTAAAAATATGCAATTCTCCAGGCTATTAAAACTTGCATCAACGTATAAAAAAGAAGACTGGTGGACGAATTATATACTTCAGGAATTAGAAGTATATTGTTCAGTACACATCTGCAGGTATTAAAATAATAATAATAATAATATATTTTCAACAATAATATACAATAGAATATTTTATGTTAAATTAATTTTCACAATATTGCAGGACCCCCTAAAATCTGAGATTGAGCTGGGGGAGCCATTCTCATAAATTTTCAAAATACATAAGACTAGTCAAATAAACAAAAAATTTCAATCATGTAATTATATAATAATATTAAGAGAAAAATCTGACTCTAACGTATAATAATATAGATTTGTATACAAACTAAAATTTAAATATTAGATAGATCTAGGTGATTCACGTATAATTTAAACAACTCAAAATTTTTAAAGTGATTAATATTAATATTTAATGAACTATATAATCTTAATCCTGTGTTTAAAACACTATTTTTACCAAATTCTTTTTTAACATGTAGTACATTTATATTAACATTTGTTTTGTATCTCGTGCTGTGCTCATGGTAAAATGGCATCTGATTATTTTTTAATTTAAAGGTGAGAGTTACTTTGTAAAAAGGTTTTCAGTTAATATTACTAAATCACTTATACAAGTTCTTACCGCAATAATCGAGAATTTTATTTATGATTAATCTAAAAATGTTAGTTTTCACAAAAATTGTTCAATGTTTGATTTTTATACTGCACCCACAGTTATAGACAGGTACTATAATGTTAATATATCTCTGTATAATCGCGGCGTAAAATACCGTAATTTTTACGGTTTTCATCAACATTTGAGTTTAAACCGCTTATAAATAATAAAACAGCTAAATTACGCTCAACTTTTTATTTTTTTACTACTAATTACAACTCATAATGAACCTGGTGTTAAATTTTCAAGCATTACTGTTCCACATAAAACCATAACAATAAACATTCAAAAAAAACAAAAAAAGTAAAATCTCTTTAAATAGCTCAAAATTTGCAAGAAATTTTACCACGTCTAAAAAATCTAGAATAAGTATTCTGTAAAAATTTCAGCTCTCTACACTTATTTTTAACTGATATATAATATTAAAGACGGACATACTTCGCACGATGGGTAGGCCACTGTTGTAGATGAGAAGTTGGGAAGATAAATTATAGAGGAGCAATTTAATGTATATCTGTACGCAACGATTAATCTTTGCTAAAAAAAAATCATTATGAATGGTGTTCGATTACACATGTTTTGAAAGACCGTAATATTAACGATTTTCGTCAAAATTTGATGTTAAAATTATTATTAAAAAATTCTATGTTAAACTCAATTTTTATTTTATTTTTTTTTTTCCTGTCAACAAAGTACGACTTATAATAAACCTTCTGTTAAATTTGTAAGCATTTCTGTTTGGTCTAATAATTATATCCACAGAGTACCTACCGCGAATACAAATTATGGATAAAACTAACAAAATTAAAATGTTTAAAATAGTTAAAAAAATATATATTGAAAATCTTACCATATTTAGAAAAGAAAAATATAAGTTTTTTGTCCAAATTTAAAGTCTTGACGAATATTTTTAACTGAATCACATCAAAAAACAAAATTGTAAAATAAATACATTTCATACATTTTCCCGGTTTTTTCCAATTATTATAAAAACCCTTTGAAAAATCAAAAAATGACTTCCTTAAAGTACAATCCAGATAAAATTTTCTCTCAGAAAATTACTACACTTTAAAATCGTTGCAACATTTCTGGTATAAAAATTGCGTACAGATAAAAAATAAATAATAAACATCATTGTAAAATCAATATAATCCTCGCTTCGCTCAGAATCTAAAAACAAAATCAAATAAAAAAAATGGAACTTACGGTATTAAAGATTTGTTAATAACGTTAAATTTACCGTTTTTCTTAAGTTTTCCTCAGTTTTTCTAAATTTGTTTTGAAAATTGCTTGGAAAAACTGTCTTTCTAACTTAAAAATAAGACAAAATTATTTGCTGAAATGATATTGCTCTAAAAACTGGGAGTTAGATTTTTGGTAGAAAACAAAAATTTAAATTAATGAAATCGTCAACCCCGTAATTGTATTCGTTTTTCGTTTATGTTTTTTTTCCGGTTATCCCAATTATTATCATCTCTATTCTATATTACGTCACTTTATAAACTAGCTAAACCCAAATTGCAACGAAAAAAAAAATTCCCATGTAATTTTTTGATTGAAGTACAAATTTTGGTAGACTATTGTTTATAGACAGTAAATAAACAAATTAGCACACGTCATTATATAGTTAAACCAATTATTTACATTACTCAAAACGCTCAGAATCCAAAAAATTAAAACAATAAATTACAATTTACAAATTTCTTTTCTGAGTATATTTTACTAAATTGTCGAACAAAACTACACATGTATTTAATAAATTCGTAGGGCATACAATATTCTACACAACTACTGCGAATAAATCGAAAACGGTTCGTTGAAACGCTACGATCCATCCCCCGGTATAATAATTGATAAATGCGGTTTTGCCGCGGTCGTTTTATTTTATATTCCACCGCATTTTTCGGGTTTGTTTATTACACGTTTGCGCACGATAATATTTCCGTATCGTAACCATTGCCGAAGTAGTGAAAAAAAATATATTTCGCTACCAGCCAAATGTCAGAAATTCAGCATTGCGATCGCGGCAAAGCTATTATTAACGGCCGACAGCTGCTGCTGCTGCTGCTGCTGCTGCTGCCGCTGCCGCTGCAGCCAAACGAAAACGTGCGGTTTACGTTTAGCGCATTGTTTGCTACGATGAAATATCGCTGCGTGTTACTGCGTCTAAACGGACGACTCGCATGCGCGTTGTAAAATTCATATTATCAACAATTGTTTGAACGAAATCAATAATAATAAGGTGCGCCGGCGATTTCTAAACACCGCGACCGCGTGGAGAGACGTCCGGCCGTCTGACACAGAAAGTATACATGTCGCCGTGTCGGAACGGGGAACTACACGAACTAATTAATTATGAAATTCCGGTGTTGTACTCGTACCGTACCGATTTCCTATACGACTATCGCACATCGCCCGTGTAAAAGATGCGCGCGTCCGAGATGATCGTGAGCGGATTAACTGGAGTACCTATAAAAAACAAAAGAAAAAGACGGTATATGCTCTAAAAATCACTCGGACAAGCATTCAAAGCGCAATTATTATTATTATTTTAATGACCTTGCGTTTCTTAATTCAAGTTCGGATACATATTATATATATGCCCGCTACGCTCGACTTAGATTCGACCTACAAAACGTAATCATAATAATTGTGAAAAACTGTTCGATACACTATACAAGTACTACAGAGAATTAATTAATTATCTTTGTTTCGGTTTTTATTTTACCGAGTTAAAAAAAAAAAAATTATGTACCTAATTATTGCGGTCCTCAATTTAATAAAACGAGTTCTGTATAATAAATAAAACTGCACTTACCTACTAAAATAATACTAATAATAATAGTATATTGATATTGTACTTATTCAAATTTGAACATATCAGATGCATGCAATGGGTTTTCAGTATTTCGGATAAAATTATGTTCAGTGTGATTCCTTCGTCACTCTACTGGCAAATACATAATTATATTTTATTAGTACGTGAGTGAAACAACCAAACAAAAGTTATTTAAAATTTATTATAAACAGTTACAACATTTTTCATTATTAGACGTTTTTTCGCGTTGTTCATTTATACCTTTTATACATTCGCAGCCATCGAGTCATCGTAATTTCTCTTATCACCAAAACAAAATGACGATAACTATCTACACAAAAGTAGACAACATGAATCAATTATCAAGAACCGTTATGGGGTAAACTATTATTTACCGAGACGGAAACAATGGTCAGAAAATAATTACATTATTGTCTTGTACTAAAAACGGCTCTCTATCAAAATATCCCATGTTCCTCGATGACCCGTTAATATTTTTTTTTTAAATTAAATTAACATAACTACTGTTAAGTATTCGCTATCAATTCATGTATACTAAAATAAATCATTACAAGCAAAATTGAACTGACATTTCAATAGTATATAATAAACAAAATTACTATTATTGATATTGCTCGTGGGTTACCACTGTTGAATGCGAGTAGTTGAGAAAGTAGGGTACATGCAGGGTAATTTAGTTTGTATACTGTATACAACGGAAAAATGTGTGTAAATGAAAATCGATTTTAATTGGATAACATAGTATAAGTCGTGGTTTTTCCCTTGTTTCATTATGGAACCCAAAAATCAACAAAAGTCAAAAAAAAAAAAAAAAGGTACCTAAACTGTTGAAAATTACTATAAATTTTTCAAACAATGTACCGATATTAATCAAAATGTCTACATCTTTGAAGATATGACGTTGAAAAAATCGAAGCGTTCAAACTAAGTAACTGAAAATAAAACACATTCAATATTAACATAACTTCATCGTTACACACGAAATTTATAATTATGTAAAATTGTAACGGGATATTATATTGTAACTCATATTACTCGTTTGATTTGTTATGATTTATTTTATACCCGCAGTATACAAATTGTATAATATCATGCATAAGCTTATATTCATTTGCATATATTCGTGTGTGTTATACAATTGTGTGTCGTATACAATTTATTTATCGGATAAACGACGAATAAATGAATTCGAGAACGATTTTATTCGACGCTCGTGTACGGAAACGGCAGCATCATTTATTGAAATTTTTTAAAACTCGTATAATATTAAATATAGGTAATAACGGTCGTAATACCATTTGCGCGGGAAAAAAAAATTGGCACTGGTATTCGGTCGGTAGTCGGAGCAGGGAAAACCGTTGCCAAGCCGAGTACCGGTCGTTCACAATCGTATAAAGCACGCAGAAGTCATAAGTATCGGCAATTTTCGGCTGGTTAATTTATATCAATTGCGCTGCGCGGCTATCGCGATTTTCAATGAGCGTGCATATTCACGTCGACAGCGATCGGTGACTTTCCGTGCCCGTTTTTAAAACTCCCCATGTCTCTCTCGCCCGCTCTCTCACTCTCACTCTCTCTCTCTCTCTCTCTCTCTCTCTCTCTCTCTCTCTCTCTATCAATCCCTATCTCTCTGTGTCACGGTAATGCTTTCGTGTCTCTCTGAAGAACGGTCGAGTACAAAAAAAAACCTCTGGTTTGTCGGACAAAACGTCATTAGAAAAATAAATAAACGGAAAAAAAAAAAGGAAAAAACGTGCCAACGGTTATCGTCGCGCAAACGATTCCGGGAACTACACTGCAAAGCGCTGCAGACGGACCGGACAGACTTAATTACGTACTGATGGCACGTATTACGGCTGTCGCCATCCCCCGGACGCCCGTCCGCCGTCGTCGCAGGTGTCAGTGTCGTGTGAATACCCTCCGCGGCCGCCGCCGACGACGACGACCTATACCGTCTGCGCGATTTTTTTTTTTTTTTATGTTTTTTACAGTTAAAAACGTCTCGCGATCTATGGCCGTACGGTATAATATGCGTCGTCACCACCGCCGCCGACTAACCTGCACTACCTCGCGACTGTATTATAGCAGACGGACCGGACCGCTTCGCCGAGATACGTTCGCGCGCGCGCTCTCGCTACGCGGTCGAGAGAAAACAATCGTCGACGAAATGACCGCCGCGCGCGCACGATTTTACGATTATCCGTTTTTAACGAGTGCAACAAATACGCGCGCGCGCGCGCGACAGTACGGCTCTGCGCTGGACGTATAATATATACGCAAAACAACAATAATAACAATAATAATAATTATTGTATTGCATACGCGCGCATAACATACGTACCTACGTATAATGTACGATATACGTATACGCGTATATATACCCACGTACAGACACAATGAGCACGTGCAGCACCGCCGCCGTCGCGGCCGCCTCCTCGTAGCTGCACGCCGTCATGTTCATCCGTCCCTATTTAACGGCCGTGCCATTTAGAAAATAATAACGATATAATACGCCTCATCATGATGACGCGCGTTTGATTTAAATCGTTTTTCTTCTCGTTTTTGTTGTTTATTTATCTTGGTTTTTTTTTTTTTGTTTTTGTTGTTTACAGTGCGATGCTAGAGATGGGTGACAAGACCTGCAGCAAGACCGCCGCCGTACGGACCGCTTGGTGGATCCTCACGTTCTCCGTGAGTATATAAAACCTAATAAGGGCCTACGCACTCGATTAGTGTTGGCATATCTGGAGACCGTTTTCCAGGGAGGAGCGCGTATATTATAATATTATTGTTATGTAAACAAACATTAATTTTAAACACTTAACAAAAATGTTCTCTAGTGGGAGGGAGGACCAATTTTCCAGTTTCTCTCATCAGTTACATCACAGCCGGCTAACCTTCTTGGGTTGTCTTTAATACGAATAAACAGTATAATGTATACAATGTGCGTCATCGTGTATATTATTATTGGCGTCCAGAATAAAAAACAGAGAAAAATAAAGACTACGAAAAAACAAAAAAAAAGGCCAATATTGCTTGTAAATGTGCTGCTACTGTTTCGAGAGCGAAGTTGAAATAAGAATAATCTAATTTACGAGTATTTCTGTAGGGGCTACGCAACGATAAACCATTCCTAACGAAAAACGATAGCCAAATAGTATTGGTCGTATTTTTCCCTTGTTGAAAAGGTAATCCAGAAATCAACTCAAATTATTAAAAAAAATTCCCAATTTTTTCCGTTTATTAAGAAAACTACAAAACAAATTTTACCATCCCAAAGTACCCAATTAGATCAAGAATGCTACAAGAAAATTCCTATAAAGTTATTGTTGGAGCGATGTTTCAGGTATAACAATTATTTAACACAAAACATTTAAAAAAAACACATCATATAGTAAAACCAAAACATTCCTCTCTTCGTTTATAATCTAAAAATCAAAAATATTTACGATTTAAATATAATGACGAAAAAAAGTAACTGTAAAGAAAGGTATGATGGACATTTTTATTTTTTTTTATTAGAAGTAGTAAATACATTCGGTTAATTTAATAAGACATAATAATATACAATGTACACAGGTTTTTTTCATAGCGGTTTTGATAATAATAAATATAGGCACATATATTGCTAATATAGGCAACAGATATTGTTCTATAAGTACTAAACGAATTAAATATACCCAAATGAAAATGTCCATAACCAAGTCCCTACAATGTAAGAACAATATGCATAACAAAGTATAATCAACGAGATACCATAAAAACCCAACGTAGACAGTATAGGTACATATTATTGTATTACATGCACTTGAATGTAAAATATAATTATACGATTGATATTTTTTTCCATAAATGGGAATTCTCACTAGAGCTTTTAGCGTTAGGAATTTTAGAGTTGACCGTTAAGTGTCGTCAATATTATTGAGTATATCAACGAAAATTCGAGAATTTGATGATGAACTCCAAAAAATTAGAATAATTCAACTTATACCTATAGAGACATAGTGTGTCATGTATTATCGAAAAAATGTTAACACATGGGATTCCTTTCCACATTCCACTACAGTTTTCGCTCAACGCCAAACACATTATAAAGTCTTTCTTAAATAGTATAATGTATATTAGTGAGAATTGTCCTTAATTTGGAAAAAATAAACGAAAATTATTTTTCGTACACATTATTATCTTTTCTTTTCCCCGTGTCCAGTAATCCGTTCTTTTCTTCCGGTATAGACCCCGTGATATTTCCCCGTTTAAGTTTCGCGCGCCAAATGACCAAATGTCACGTCGGGTCAAAGACATATAAACGCGCACGTGGTAGGTACACGGAAATATTTATACGCTCGCACGTATATATATGCTGCGCATAAATACACTTAATAACTTTTTGAGAAACTGGTATGTCCGTGAAACGCGCGTCGTCGTCCTATTAAAATATTATCGTAATAATATTGTTTTAAAAAATAGCAGTGTTTGTGTGTGTGTGTGTAAAAACTGGACGGTGTTTAACATAAATACATATTATCATATAGGTATTCTCGCGCGCGCATTTACATAAACATTTTTTTATGCTACAAGTTATTTTTCAAGTTCTAGGACAAGACGAGTTTTTTTTTATAATAATTACTATCATTCGGTCCGGGGCGTTATTGTTCCCTCGGGATTTCTGCCGCTTTTCGACGATTTATTTTCAACGACCAATTATACACACGTAAAATAGATATTATATAGGTATTAGGTACCTACCTACTCGTTTCATACTTTATTATTATTGTTATTGTCTCTCGCCCGTCGGAAATCCGTAGTGTACTCTAAACAGTATAATAACAATATAATTTATAAGTATTTCTTTTTTCTTCTTCAATCGGCGTAATCGACTGCTCGTACTTGCGATGCATTCATATATTTCACGAGAGTAAATTGGCAAAAAAAAAAGAGAAAAAAAGAGCTTCTGTTTTTGATGACACCCATCAGCAATTAATGCGCCACTGTTGTAGTTGGAGAGTTGAGAAAATGGAATTCACAAAATCATTGCTAACAAAATACGATTCTGAACGAAATTCCGTTAAATGTTTTTCAAAATGCGATTTTTATGATTTTTATCAAAACACGAACTGTAAATGCACATAAGAAAAAAATACTAAAATACGCTCAACTTTTTTTTTTTTTTTGATCGTCAAGTGCAACCTAAACCTCTAGTATAATTTACAAACATCTGCTTGGCCAAAACAATGGTATCCACATAAATTCAATTAAAATCTAAACAAATTCGAAAATGACAAATGCCCATAAATAGATCAAAATTTAAAAAAAAAAAAATGTTGAATAAAGTAAATACTTTTTGAAATATCGAGTGGATCACGCGTTTATTGTACTATATTTGCAGATAATATATGTAAGGTATTAAACAACAATCATTGTCTTGACGCGGTTCTCGTCAATGGGTTTTTATCTTTTCTCCTCTTCTTGTGAGGTCACAAACATCGGGCAGGCGGTCCGAGTCACGTGCTTTACTGGTTACCTAAACTGGTGTACCGTTGGTTTTGAATGAAACACATACACAACTGGTTTTCGTGTGCTCCCTATATTGAGCAACGACCATAATAATGTTCTGTTTAGATTTATTTTTTCCCCGCTATACGTTTGCACAACAGACAAACATTTTAATATCAACAGTGTAATCGAGAATAGAGAATATAGGGTTTATAATAAGAGAATATATCGCATGTGAATCATTTTACCATAGTTATACCACGACGATTTGACAAAATTGTCTATTTTTTCCATCTACAAAAACAATATTATTCTGCTAGATGGACGTTGGACACAATATTTTCTGACATCAACCAATCGCCGACCCATAGTGAAAACCCTAATTTTACAACAACTTAATACTGTTTTCAATAGTATATCTATGTTATATAGTAATTATATATTCATTGGTGCAATAAAAATATAAAAATTCGTATTCTTAATCATTTTTAGGAATATATTTTTTTAAATTGTTTGTTTAGCGTTACGTACCCGTTAACATGTATCTCTATTTTGTTTATTTTCCAGGAAAGCAAATTTATAGAATTATTTTGGTTAATTTTGATGTATTTATGTTGTTTTACGAATTAAAAAACAATAATAAAAGGACTTACCTGAATTTTAAGTCCAACGTACGAACCTACAGAACCTAACCTAACCCCAAAGATATTGGAGATACGTGTTATTTATATTAAATTCAATATACGTGTTATCACATTATAACGAATTTGATTACAAAAAACGTGGTTTATTTATAAAAGTGATTATAGAAATACAACCACACAAAAAGTTCTAGATATTTTGATACCAACACATTATTTTTGATAATCTGAAGATACCTTTTGTTTGCGTAACGTTAGTGTTCATTAAGTTTTACTGGGCTTTTTTTTCACGGGAGTTCGGTCCTGAATTTCACGTAATATAAAAATCTAAAGTATATTTAATAATAACACGTATAGTGCAATAGTGCTAAACAAGTAGGTACTATATAGAAATTGTTGGCTTTCTTGCAGTTATATATATATATTAATAATAATTATCGTTTGCCGATCATGATGCTTTGCTATTTATCAAGCCACACGCAGATGTATATTTTGCATGAATCATTCAATTGTGTATATCGCATGAATTATTTAATACGTTTGTGACTAAGACATCGGCCGACTACTGGTTTTTTTTATTTTTTTTATGGGCCAATAATGATATACTTTAATCACGTAGGTACCTGTATAATAATAGCCGAAGAAACGTATTCAATTAAGTATAGTCTACCATAGTACCAAGCAAAGTACTTATATATACCTACCTAGGTGTATAATATAAATGCGCGATAACTGCACTTTAGTTTATAAGATGTGTTTAAAGACGAAAACCTTTCGATATATATATTTTTTTAATTTTCAACCATTGAAATAATATATATATATATATATATATATACACGTGTAAATTAAATCCGTATTATATATCATTATCTGTATAATATATATTGTCCATGTGTGTATTAATAATGTATTATACACAGTAATAAGTATACCTAATAGCATTTTATTAACTTATTATTCGACACACCACTGTGTTGTGGAAAAAAAACAGTAATTATGCACCTAATTTTTCGTGTATAGACACTTTGAAACGCCATTATGTACCAACTAACCGGAACGAGTATATCAACCCTACTTAAAATCAAACGAGATACTATTATTGTATATTATATGCATTTTTTTTTTTTTTTTACTAAAATTATCATAAAAAAACTGAATATATGGCTTTTAAACGTTTGTATCATGTCCTTGTTCTATTTCCAAGAAAGAAAAAAATACAAATCACTGTGTATTGTAATATATATTTTATAAGCAGGCAATTAAATTTTTAATGAAATGAACATTAAAATCGAATAATATGAAGTAAAGATATACTAGGTATCTAAAAACCGTTCGTATACTTGCTTAAAGCCATCAACGACCGTCATTATTTTATTTAGACCGTGAGTGTTATCATCTTTTTATCTGTGAATAACTGTGATAACTATTGTATTTGTCTATTTACCATTTTCATCACGGTATCCAAGACCGTTATTGTTAATAACATTGCATAGATACAATAATTGTCATAATAGTATTATAAAAGTGCAGGTTGATAATACCCACAGACTTAAAATTAAATAGCAGATTGAAAATTGTACATAATTATCACCGATTAGCAATCTATATATGATGTGATAAATATCATTTTTCTGGTCAAATTAATTCTTATTTTACTCAAGGTTCATTGAGTATATTCTAAAATTTTCAGAGCAAATTTCACGAATACCGACACATTATCTTGTTTCCATTTTTTAAGTTATAAATATTGAAAATCGTTTTATTGTAGACTTTTACTATATAATTTAATGAGGATTTAAAAAAATCACATTAGATATAGTACCTACGACATTAAATGCTATAAAAAATTTTAACAAGAAAAATTGTAAAAAAGTATTATTTAGCAGCATTACCTATAAATATTTATTACGTTAACTAAAGATAATCATATATACTTAGTTGTAATAGCTTACGAACTAAAAACAAATTATAATCTACGTATTTGTTCTTTTACTTCATTGCTTATGCTTACATTTTCGAATTTCCCAATTTTGTCAGCCCGAATAAAAGATTACAATATAATAAACTTAATCAATTGAAAATGAATCTGAGTTTAATGTTCATTAGTAAGTAATGAAACTAATCACTAATAACTAACAGATACCTATAGTAATCTGATCCTAAAAGTATATGTATATTTTATATTACCTATTGACCAATTAAACAATTATCAATACCATATACTGGCTATACTGCACAATAAATTTCATTAGCTAAATATTTAAATAAATATTAGCATATTATTATTTGAAAAAATATAATTTTACCTAATTCGAATTATTTAATGTCTGACAATAAATATATAGAAGTAGAGGTTAATGAACGATCAATTACAACCGAGTTAGTATAACTTTTTATACGAATCATTATAGTATAATAAAGATGTAAAATTGTTTCGACATGTTTATATATTTACTGAGTAGGTAGTGGATACTAATGGAAATATGATGATGATATATTTTTATTATCACATACAAGTAAATGTGGATATTTGTGTGCATTTTTACTATCTAGATATATTATACTAAACTTGAACTGAACAAAACTTTTTGATCATCAATATCAGCAATGGGTACTCTCGATAAATGTTAAGTATAAGGCCCTATAATAATATTTTAATGTGTTCGATATTCTGTTTTAAATTTAAGATTTGAACAGCTGTTAAAATTATTAGGTACTGATGTGTGACCGATAAACCGTACCACAAAAAAGTCGAGAAATTTCTATCCTTGGAATGTGTTGGGCAGAGTAGAATAAATTATACACGATTTATTATTATTGAAATTATTACATTTTGATCAATAGCTGGTCTATTTTACACATTCCGATCACCAACATGAAATAAAATTTCCTATAATATTACAATAGTATAATATTCTTAAGTCTTCAACATTCAAATCACATATTTTCATTCAATCATACGATTCGTTTTCCCTCAACAAAACAATCCTGTTCTACTTTATATATAATCAAATCGTTTTATTATTTTCTTTTATATCTACGTACGTGATACGTATAATATAATAAATAGGTATTAAGCTGTCCTACTAATACTGTAAACGCGAATTATAAAATATATATATATATATATAATATTTATTTAAAGATCCTACTAATTGTTACGAAATCGTATTAATCTTTTCTTTTTTTTTTAATAATTATCTTTTCTTCGGACTTCGTGGGAGCTAAAATAAATTTGCCTAAATTAAAATAATAAAAGTAATAACTAACGTTTTTAATAATATGTCTGTATAACAGGGAATTTAGTGTATATCTGTAAGCGAAAAACCATTGCTCAAGATTCTAAGCGGAATTCAGTTGATAGTGATGCTTTGTCAACAATGTAGAAATCATATCATGACAAAATTATTGAATAGGCATAATATATTTTCTTTAAAAAATATTTGTTTAGTATTGTACTGATCTTCGAGTTTTTCCCGGTTTTCATACTTGCTGGGAAAATCGAAAAATAACTCCCTAAAGTACATTCCCAGTTAGATTTTCTTTCAGAAAAAGTGCTATCATTGTAAATCGAAGCAAAATTGCTTATAGAACAGTTGTTCACAGAAAAAAAAAAAGGCCAAACTATTTTTCAACTAATGTAGGTAACATAAATTCGTACATTTTCCCGTTTTTCCTCAGGTTTTTTTTTAGGTTTTTCATATTTGATAAGAAAACACCTGAGAAAATCAAAAAATTACCTCCCTATATTGTACTACACCAAGAAAATTTCTTTTTAGAAAAGAGTCGACGTCGTATATAACGAAGTAAGCTTTCTGGTAGAAAAGGTGTTCACACATATAAAAAAAAAAAAAAAATAATAATTATCAACATCTTTATAATACCAATACATTCTTCACTACACTCATAATGTAAAATTAAAGTGTATATTAAATTATTTTCTAAATCAAATATCTACAATCAACTTTTGTAATAATATATATTAGTACAGATTAGGGGTGGCAAATTATTTGAACATGACCAAAAATGACCTTTTTTTTTTCAAGTGTGCCATGAAAAATATTATATTCAATAATGTAAGAAAAAAATTATCGTAATTTAATTATATAATTAATGTATTAATATAAAAAAAAGGTTAGTTTAAGTACCTACATAATATAAAATTAAAATATTTGAGTTTTTCGTGTGCCCTCAAAATCTTATTGCGTGCCACTTCGAACACGCGTGCCATGGATTTGCCATCCCTGGTATAAATTATTCCATCATTCTTCATTAAAATAGGTACCTATAATACGTAAACGAGTAAGTAGATATAGATGGACTGTACGTCCATCAGTGTTGAGAATATTGTCTTAGAAATATTTATCTTTTCTAGATAAATAATATACGATTGTATATATCCGAGAATTAGGGATAACATTTCATTACAAAAGACATTTTCTAACAGTATTTTATCCCAAAGGGGTAACGAAGACACTTGTCCCCCGAAATCAATTTTTATTAGTTATTTATGTTATTTCAATGTATTTTGTTAGGCATTACGGAAAATAGTAGGTAATAGTAATAATATAGAATTATTAGTGCCTCCTAGGCTCCCACATCCCTAATATTTTTTCTGACTACACTACTGTTTTATAATAATAATAATTCTAATACCGAATATAAACTTTTAAGAATAAATATTACAATATACAGTCATATTATTATACTATTATTATTTCCGTTATTTGAACTCAAATACACAACACCGATCCTGTCAGTGGCGTAGAACCCTATCCTTAAGTATGCCGGCCGTCATAGATAATAAAGTGGGTGGGTGGTAAATGGTGTAGTAAAAAATGTAGTTCATAATATACTCAAATAATTAAGTGTAAAAAGACAAATATTGCGAACTACCTAACATTATATTATCTCGAACGTTGCAATAAAATATGATTCAAAAGAGCGAATTTTCATAAATTTATTTACCTGCAGTATAAAACTGCTGGTGAGGAAGGTAGATATAGCAAATTGTACACTCGCCATAGATAATTTTTTTAGTTCGGCCTTCGGCCCCACTTGATCTTATTACCTAGGCATTTAATTGAAAACATTTTCTTATTTTTTTTTTTTAATGTACATTATTAGTGCATTACTATAATAAAACATGCACTAAAAACCATACACCAAGCTATATTTAATCATCAATTAATTAGTAGTTTGTTGTTGAATGTTAATATATTTATGTAGGTACTCAACTTATTATTCGTCAATTATGAAAATAAATTACGCAGGACAACCATAGGTATACTATATGTATATTGTATATAGTTATAATTTATTATTAATATAATATTTACTGCAGTGCATACGATTTTTTAATAGGGATAGAGGAAGATTTAAATCCAAAAAAAAAAGTCCAAGAGCCGGTTAATATCTCACATAGCATTTTACAATGTGTAAACGTTAACATTGAATTTAATTTTAAATCCTACAAAATCAATGTTTGATACATTTCATTTAAGTGTTTATTTTTAAATATTTTTAATATATTTTAAATTTTAAATAAAAGTTTAAATTCAATTACAAAGTAAATATTGAATATTAATTTTTTACTGTATTATATAGAATATAATATAATACAAGGATGTTCTACTGTGTTTTATGGATTTTAATACCTCTAGCTGTTAATATTCAACTGTTTTTAATTAAATTTTACGTTAGAAGATCACATATTATATTTACTATGTATGTAAGACAAATTAAATTTATAGCTTCACATCTTTTAATCACAAAAAAAAAAACTTTATGTATTTATTTTTCAATAGTTATTTTATATATTAAGATTAAAAAGGCCAATGTGTACTATACATTCATGTTTGATAAATGCCTTCTGAGTAATAGCCGTTTAATCTATAATATGTTCAAATTCCAACACAATAAATCATTTGTAATGGGTATAGAATAAAATGAAGACTCACATATTGTAAAAATAGTTATCAGTTAACAGTTTCATTGAGATTGTGATTCCCTATCGTGTCTATCAAATATAGTTTTTCCACACCCCTTCTCTAAAAATTAAAACGGAAATTACTAAGAATCTATACATCAAATATGTACGTATGTTTGAAAAAAATTGTTTGACTAATATCCATTAAGAATCACCAAACCTAACCTTGCCAAAAATTAAGGGGTGGTAATACAAATTTAATTTTTCCTTATAGACGAGTATATGTATACCCCTCGGAAAGAAAATCCGATTGACGAAAACATTAAAATAAATCGAACATTTACAAAGATATACAAATCCATAGAACATGGTAGAATATATATATATACCTTATATATATTACGGATGTTTGTAGATTCAATATTGAAAATATTAAAAATTAAATAAATCATCTTACTACGTAGTTTAATAAACATAAAAAAAACTTGCAATAGACACTTCAAATATTAGTTACCAATTAAAAGTTTTTAAATCTACTCCTATTATCCATTAAACCATTTTTAAGTGTCTACTATTAAAGAATTAGGTAATGTGTTGCAAGTAGGTACACCTATCATAGATACACCTCTTGACCACCTAAATTAAGACATTATCTTATCGCTTCTATTAGAGAAATATGTACTGGTTGTACCCCATAAGCGTGGATAAACATCTATTTGCACATTATTGTTAATTCGTCAACTAATGACAAACTACGCAACGTCGTCGTGATAGTATTTATGCAAAAATATCAAATAAAATTAATAATGATACAAATTAGATAATATAGCATTATAGCGTATTATCCGTGTATATTACCAGTACCCTAATACACGTACCATAAACATTTGTTTGTAAATTAAATAAGTATTTCGTACGTCATCGAATCATAGGAATTAAATATGTAGGTAATATTGTTACGTATAAATGTCATTTAATATAAATTCTGGACATGGTACATTTTGCCGGGACAATCTCGCACAATGTCCGGTCATTGTAAAAAAAATTATTCTTATACTACCCGAAATGTTTCCTATTTTCAGTAGGAGTTCCTACTTTGCTCGTAACATGCGTATATATTGTATATTGCATTAGTTAAAATATAATTATTTAGTATTTAAAACTGTATACAATAATTTTATTCTCGCAATTATTTTCTTTTAATCGTCACCCACGATTAATTTAAACGTGCTGATTTCGATAATTATAATTAAACAGAGCATAACGTGATGTGCATTCAAATTTTTTATTTCGTAATTATTACGGCGGTGTACCGAGTAATTTTCTCTATATATATATTTTTTTTTTTTTTTTAATGTTATAGAAAATGATAAATCCTCAATAAAACAGTATTAACTAATTTTTTTTTTGACAATTTATAGAACAAGCAGCTTTAAAATTTTACATTACTATTTTTTTTTTCGTTATACATAGGAGTGAAACCACTACCCGTCTTTAATAATCAAAATTCCATAAATATATGACATATTTTTGGTTCAAATACATTTTAGTGTAGAATAAATACAAGCATTATTTCCAATGATTGTATGCGAAAATTTGTTTTCGTGTTTTCGCAATCTATTTTAGATTCTAAGCGTAGAACAAAGAATGTATGGTTTTAGTATTATATAGTATATATTTTTTCCTATAAACAAAATTTCTACCGAAAATCTTGCTCCGATTTTCAAATGTATCTCATTAATCAAATTTTGTCTCGATGATGCATTAAGGAGATTATTATTTGATATTTCTTGTTAGACTATAGTAAGACCACAATATTCCTTTGGAATTTTTAGAACGAAAACTGCGTACATTCGTGTGTATGCACGCTCGTGTATTTAATCATAATATAATAATAATAATATGTCTTTATTTTGCAATAGAATACAGGTAATACGTCATAAATATAAGATAAAGTTAAGGTGCGAAGCCCAACCAAAAAGTAGAGCTTGTAAACGGTTAGGCTGAGTTCAGTATCTAGCTATGAAAAAGTAAAATAGCATAACAATAATCAGAAACAAACAAAAAAAATAAAATAAAAAATAATATTTAATGTACTTACATAACAATATTAATAGAAGTAAACACAATTACAAAGTAACTGAAAAGATTAACACTTAAATAATAATGAAATGTATTATACTTTAAGTATAAAATCAATATGTGTTTTGAAATGTCATATAACTACTGAAGTTATCCATTATAATATTGTATTTACGTAATAAAGCAATGCCGTTAAAAATTGGTCTTTTTGAATCAAAAACAGTAGTACAAAAAGGAATTACACTCAAGTTACATTTAAGTTTTAACCTACTGCTATAATAATTATGTATTATATAATCTTCGCATTAAGATTGACTTTGTACATAAATTGGCTTAAATAAATTACAACGCACAAATAAATCATGAAAATTAAAAATTATGCATAAAATATTATTTATACATAGATAAATTGTATTTAATATTATAACACGGGTTTCGTTCTACAGTTGGTGCAGAACACTTTGAGCGTCGGCGGTGGTGGCGGCGGCGACCGCAGTGGCGGCGTAGGAGGCGGCGGTTCTGGCGAAATATGGCCGCTGAATCGGCCGGACGGCATGCCAGTGATCCAGTCACTCGAGGTCATGTGTGGCAAGGATCATATGGACGTGCACTTGCAGTTCACGCAACCGTTTGAGGGCATCGTGTCGTCCAAAGGACAGTACGCAGACCCGCGGTGCGTATACGTGCCACCGTCAACCGGGAAAACGTTTTTCACATTCCGCATAGCGTACGCGCGGTGTGGTACCAAGCCCGACCTGAACGGTCAGTTTTACGAGAACACGGTGGTCGTCCAGTACGACAAGGACCTGCTGGAAGTGTGGGACGAGGCGAAGCGGTTGCGTTGCGAGTGGTACAACGACTACGAGAAGACTGCGTCCAAACCGCCCATGGTCATAGCTGACCTGGACGTCATACAGTTAGACTTTAGGGGTGAGTAGTTGCTACGGTTGCTAGTCCTTACCTATAGCCGCCTACCAGCGAAATCATCTATCCGACAGAAAATGATAATTCTGACTTTCACATTTTGGATTTCTAGTTATCAAGGCTTGGGACTTTATGCATTTAAAATTCACATAAAAGAGTTCAAAACGCCAAAATAGCCATAAAAGAAATATCTAAAAAGCAAAAATGACAGAGGGCTTAGAGAGGTTTAAAATTTCAACCTCCACTCACCATAACGGATCTAGCCATAAAATATAATTTTATAACACTACAAAAACGATTAACACAAAATAATTTTTTTTATAATACTCAGGATTTTATTTAAAAACTTGTGTTAATAATTTTTGCAGTGTTCAAAAATTTTATTTTATAAGTTATAGAGCCATCATTAGAGGAAGGACTTTTAAAAACATACTACCATTTTTTTGTTTTTTTAAATCCGTCTTCGAGGCTTTTTTAACATTCTTGAACGCTTTTTTGTGGATTTTAAGCGCATAACATCCCGATCCCTGCTAATTATACTAATTACTATCCTACTGTTATAAATATAATAACTGTCTAATATTATTAATTGTATAGTACCTCAAAATAATTATTTTCAGAGACGGTTTTAGAGGAATCTATAAACAACACACAATTTAAGTTTTTTTTAATATTTTATAAATAGAATCTCTACAGAATTTATGAATAATAATCCAAATTTTAATCTAACTGTCTAAGTGCATCGATTTATATAGTTAATGAGGATAACATCCGTTTAATTACGCCATAGGGTGAATAATAATCGAATATAAATAAATTGCTATTGACTTTCTCGCATCTAGTGCAGATTCATTCATATTATTCCTTCCTTTAGAATCGTATATTCGATGCGCTGTTTTATAGCCTCTTCAAAATAATCGTGTTTCGTCTTGTGTTTGAAAAGTGATGGAATTTATTAGAGACAATTACCATTACTTTGCCTATACTTTATCTTCCATATTAATTAAAAACGCATTGTTTTTATCGCATTCGTATTCTTTGCACGTTAGTTTATTTTATATAATATACTTTTATCACTTTCGGGTGCCACGCAAAATAACGAGTTTACTGTCCATTTTTCTCCGCTGTAAATATCATAAAACTCTTTTAAAACATGCAGACGTCTTTCTCTAGTGAATGTATTCTCTATTTGTATATATTTTAGCAATTTTTCAGTTTTATCCACTTTATCATTTCTGAACATATACTTGAATAATAGTGTTCAAAATATTTGTACTATAGCGTAATTTTACCAGTTAAATGTATGGTCCAGTACTTAGTACAGTTATAAATCAGTGATCAAATTTAAAAATGAACCTTCTGTGTACAGTGCTCAAATTGGAAAAAAAAAAGAAGAGGAACTATACAATTTAGTAAAAATTAGTGTTCCTTACAATTATTGGACTCAAACTGACCCATGAAGGGATATACCTCACTCATATTAATTTTTAAACATAAAGCAGTAATTAACAATTTCCTAAGACAAACACTAATAACACTACTGTACACTTTTTATTTTAAATTATACGATAATGATTACAACTATGATTCTACTAATAAAATATGTACTCGTATATTTATTATTATTACTTATATTTTATTTCTGTATGTGAACAAACTTTCTATCAGAAATCATACTCCGACCATTAACATGAGACGTGATTGTTTCTAATAAACGTATTTGTCTCTTTGATGCAATGAGATGGTTATTTTTCAATTTTCTTTGTAATATTCTTAATTATGGAGAAAACCATAGAAAAACGTCGGGAAAATTTTTAACTGGTACATTTACACAGTAACGGTTTCTATTGTATTCTATTTTATTTATTAAGTGAAAAAAAAATTGTAGAGGCCGAACATTCCACTGAATTTTTATATAGGTACATTCTCTTATATTCAGCTTTTTCTAGACATGGCACAATTTTTAAAACATCCTATCATTTGTTCAGTTATTTATAGCATTTTGAAATTTTCAAGTTTTTAGGATTTTATTTGGTTTTATATAACTAAAATTGTTTTAGGAAGTTGCAATTAATGAGGAAAAAAATACAACGTAATGTAGAAGGGCCCGGGAACGTAGCCTCTTATTTTCGGCTCAAGTTTTACATAAAACAATTGAAAACTAAAGACAATACAAATATGTTATTTATTTTGAATTCCAGGCGACAACGTTGACTGTTGGATGGAAATACAACACGGAAAAGGCCCATGGGCTCCACCAGTTAGTGGTATAGTGCCTTTGGGTTCTACGTTAACGTTAGTGGTGGCCATCAACGACTATAGAGGTAAAAAATTAAAACACTATATAATACATAAGAGTACATTTTTATAACGGCACCAATATTATACCAAGCATAACAAAGTAAAAGTTATCTGTACATATAATACGTGTATAATAATATTGATCATACTGGTTGTATATTTACAACCATAGCCCCGTGTATTTTTTCGTTAAAAAAATTTTTGAAAAAGTATAAATTACTTGTGTAAAACTTCAAAGTTTATAATCGCTACGTAGTAAATATAAATCATACAAAAAAACTGTCAAATGTACGTTATTTTTTTATGTTATATCGATGTTATCGTTGCGATCATATTTTATCTTCCCTTATATCACCGAATCCTAATTATTATTCCCGTATATTATAATAATAACGGTAATTTGTCTACGATGCGCGTTGCTTGCAGTTGTGTGTGAAAACCTTCATTCATTATTATAATTATTGTTATTGATAAATATCTAACTATATATAAAGTCCACTTATTGCTTAATAGATAATTTAATTAATTAATAATTATTTTTATGCACGTACAGGTGAGTTCGACATGCGAGTGAAATCTTGCGCCGCGTCCGACGGGGGCGGTCACGTTATTCAGCTAACAGACGACCAAGGTTGCGTTTTGCGACCGAAAATGATCAGCGGTTTCTTGAAGGCCCGGACATCCGACGAACGAGCATCCGTCATCACGTATGCGTTCTTCCATGCATTCAAGTTTCCGGACGCACTAAGTGTGCACATCCGATGCAAGGTGGAGATATGCCGTCACGGATGTCTGGACCACTGTCAGACGGACGAACGGTCAGCCGCAAACTTGTTACAACAACAACAGCAACTACCTGTCCAGTACGGGCCGGTGGACAGAAAGGACCAGCAAAACGATCAGTTGGATTATGTGCAGTCCGTCGTTGTCAACACGGACCAGCCAAGTGCACAAGCACAGACTGCACTACACACACCGTTCACCACTGCCGGCCACTACAATAAACCGCAACCACCTCAAAAGGTACATACAAATTTTAAATAATAGTAATACAAGTAATTTATATTATTACGTTTCACGTAAATCATTACCTTCTCGCAATGTCTAAGATTGAATCAAATTAAAACAAAAAAATGTTAGAATTCACCACTGAAACAATATCCCCCGTTTAATGATTTATAAAACACAATTTTTCAATTGTCATCGCTTCTCAATTTATAACTCTATAGGTATTCTGAAAAAAATTCAAAAATCGCATACAATATGTCCGTTAACTAGATCGTTTTATTTGTGTGTGTGTGTGTGTGAGTGTGAGTGTGTGTTAACATACTCGTAAAAACAGAATTTAATTTAAATATCGAAATTAACGTCTTTTAAATAACACTATTTTTGAGAATTTCCATGCAAAAATCTTATATAATATATTAATTAAATCAAAAATTAAAATTAAATCGTTTCCGTTTGAAAAAATGAGTACAAATTTCAAAAAAAAAGAGCTGATACTGAAGATGAGTGCGGCCACTGTCGTAGCTAGGTAGTTGGAATAATGGGATACATAAAGTTATTTAATTTATACCTGTAATCAACGAAAAACGAATCGGAGCGAAGTTCGATTATACATGTTTTGAAAGTAATATTCACGATTTTCATCAAAATTTTATTTTAATCTCTTATGTAAAAAAAAAAAAAAAAAAATACCGCATTACTTATAATAAACTTTTTGTCAAATGTTCAGGCATTTCTGTTAACTAACAATTAGATGCACAGAGTACCTACCAAATAAAAACTACACAAAAACTCGCAAAATTTATAAATAGCTTTAAAATTACTTAAATGTTTTGAAAATTTGATCACTTCTAGAAAAAGCAAATATAAGTTTTTTGTCAAAATTTAAAGGGTTTTTTTTAACTGAATTACATTAAAAAACAAAATTTTAAATAATAAAAAAATTATTTTCTTAAATTTTCTACATTTTTTCTTTTTTTTGATTTTACTCAATTATAAATCTAAGAAAACCTATTGATTTAATGATACCTAAATACATTCAATATAGTCAAAAACCCATCGTAAAATGTTTGGTGAGATGTTATTACTATTTTTGATATTAAATATAACAGGTCAGCGATCCAGATATTGGGATATCAAAAATCCCACAGGCATCGATTTATTGATTTCAATATTCATTTAATTATCGTTAAATATTAATGAAAAAAAAACTTATAATATATTATTTTATTACAAGTCGAAAACCGAATGGCATACTAATTATTAGTGTTGTTAAATTTTCAGTTTTGTATACATTTCCATTTCGGGACACATTGACGAGACGATAAATAGCTTTTTAACCGAATTTTTAAGGTTGTAGAGATTGGTACATAAATACATACTATAATTACATAATAAATATAGGTTTGAAAAAAATTACAATTTCCAAATCGGGGGAGGGGCTGACGAGACGCGTGTTATGTAACTACTGTATTACCTATCGTTATTTGAATGCTTATCAGCCAACTGGAGGAAAATTTAAACTTGCCATCATTCATATATAATTATCTTCAATCAGTGGTACAACTCCTACACTACTTGTGGTGAGAATTTTTTTTTTTTTTTTTTTTATTCCGTTTCTATCTAATTACACTAATTATTCAGTTAGAAACTTGTTGAGAGACGATTTTGCTATCAAGATGTTATCTTCTGTCTTTCACAGTGCCTCGTAAATAAAAAATGACAAAATGTTAAAATGTGTGTCCAACTTTGCGACTGCTATCTACAAAGAAAATCTTATTTTATAATATGTATTACCAACCATATATTAAGTATAATTAGAAAATGAAAAAAATAACTATATTATCCTATACGATAGAAACCGTGATTATAACGTTTTGTATAACACTACTAACCATTTATAACTCATATAGTTATACTTAACAGTGTACAATAAACAAGTTTTGATATTTTACATATTTATGTAATTTAATTATTATTTTTCTTCATTTCTTAACAGATAATCCGTAAATATTCTTAGAAATTGTAATAATAATATTTAATATTAATTTTTTTATAAACCCATAAATCTGGTAATATGGACTATGATATTTTTATCGGGAATCTTAAAACAAATCACAATGCGTTGGTAAATTTTATTTTCATGGTCTCCACTCAATTAACTGAATAAAAATAAAAAGAAGAGGCATTTTTTTATTATTGTAAAGTTAAATAATTTGCAAAATATGAATTTTCCAGTTTGTTTTTGTTGGTACATATTATTATTATAGCACTATACGTATGACCGACATCTTAGATATTTTTTTTTGAAAATAGGACAAATAATTGTGTTTTAAACGATAGTGAAAATAACATATTTAAAACAAGTTGTTTTAAATGTTTCGATTGCAACCCTGCAAGAATCATGGCCGTATTTAGCAAGCACGGAAACAATACGATTAAAAATCCGAGTATACATGTTTAAAAACAAAAGAGAAACGTAATTCTTAGCTAGAGTTAAGTACACATTATGACTCACGAATTTTATTTGTTTGTTCATGTTTTTTATTATTATTATTATTATTATTATTCGATTTAAAGTTTTCCCGCGACAAAATACGTTCCCGATCAAGCATTAATTGTAAAAACAATTTATTGTGTTAACAATAAAACCAATTGCCTTGTTACAGGAGACTCTGAACCGGGACGGGTTCCCGCACGGACCGCGTAACTTGGACGAGCCTGTGCAGCAAACGCCTGCAGCGGCGTCGTCAGCAGTGGCGGACGACAACGACGGAAAGTCGCCGTTGGTCGTAAATGGTACTGCGGGCGGTGAGACTACAAGTTTCGTACAGAGGCGCCGGCGCCGGCGATCGGTCAACGTGTCGGACGCGGGCAACGCGGACGTGGGCGTTAGCGGGCTGTACGATGTCATCTCGCAGTCGGACCTAGCGTTCACGCCAGATACCAAAACGGACAGTGATTCAGTGACCATATTCCAGGGGCGAATACGCGAGGACGTGGTGTACGGCATTTGCATGCCGGTCCACGGATTCGGCGCACTGTTCGTCATGTTCGCCGGTTCGGCGATCGTGTCCGTCATTGTGGCCGGGTTTCAATTGCACAAGTACCAGGTGAGGAGGGAGACGCAAAAAATCATGGCAGTCCAAGCACACCAACACATGCAACAGCACAGTGTGGCCGGTGGTTACATTCAAAACTCGCTGGCCGGCATCATGGCCCTCAATAAGCTACTCGCGTCCAAAACGGCAGGGCCCCAGACAAGGCGGAACAGCTAATCGACGACAACCGCCCGCGCGCTCGTCTAATATATTTATACGATTTATATGATAAATACCTAATCGGATGATGATGATTATTATTATTATCATCGTTGGTGCGTATACAAACGTTACATTATCTTATTATTATCGTTGTTTAATACAAAACGCTCAAATTTATCGTTATAGTTTATATATTTACGGTCTATTCATTCAATTTTCGCGGTCGCCGTCAAACGAGTGTAAAGAACACCTCACACCCCAAAATAGTATTTATTGATTTTCAACCGGCGGACTTTTCGATAAAAAAAAATATTAACAACACACGCATTTTGTTCAAATAAGATTTATTTGTACACGCGTATGTAGATCCTACATATTAAGAATCTAAGAGAGTAACTAATCGCACAATTTACACTGATTGGCTGACCTGTTATCTTATAACCACGGACCGCCCTTTTGTATACTACGTTGAACTATCGTATAAATGTATATATATATATATATATATATATAATAATACGATACCTATATTTTTATATCTTCTATCAATAACGTTTTAAATGTGTTTCCGACAAAAAAAAAAAAAAAAGCCATTTTACATAAAAACAATACGTCATTTCGTCTTGATAATAATATTATATTCTGTTATAGTATAATGTACAACGTTGCAGCCGTTTCATCCGGATACACAATATTATTACGGTCTATTCAATAGCGTAATAAACTTAGTTGACCACCCTCTTATTACTTACATAATAATATATAGACTGTCTATAAATTACTATAGAGATAACCGTACCGTATAGGTTTCGAGCAACTCACACGGCATATGTAATAACTTGACCTATTATTATTTTTTATTATTTTATGATATTGTAAGTATAACATGTGAACATATTGACGATCAATATATTATATTCTATCGCGCATTCGGATTAAGAAAATAACGCGTTTTAATAATGGTGCTCAAATCGACAGTGTATAATTTGTTTTATTTATATTGTCTTTACGCTTTAATTTAAAATAAGTACTACATGATATTATTACACTTATTTTTATTTATCTTTGTTATACGTTTTTTTTTTTTTTTTTTTTTTTTTTTTTTTATATATATATATTTTTATTAGTATTATATTATACGAGTACATAAGTACAATAGTTAAATTATTTAAATTACCTTTATTTTATAAACTTGTAAAATAATAAAAAATAAATAGACAATTCATTATTTTAATTTTTAAATAGATAATAATATTACGTTAAGTTTAACTACGTCTATGTAAATATATAAATACTGAATGATAACAATCAAAACTAGATAATTTTGTTATTATTTAATATATTATATATTATTATTACGATATAGGTATATGTATAATTTAATTTACTATAATGTAGTCATGAAATAGGCCAGTTCTTCGTAATAACGGTTGAAGTTTATTATTATTTAGAAATATAGCAAACTTTACTATCTAGTTAAACCAAAATTGTTCGTGAACGTAAAAATTGAATTCTTAAAATAAGTTCAAATATTGTTTTATGACACGGCGTTTCGCATAGGCAAATCATGTACATTCGTGTAACGGACTTTTGTCTTCAAATGACATTGTACCGTTTTCAACGGATCACAACGACAACTGTGTTGACATTTTTACTTAAAAATTAAGTTTTGTATATATTTCATAAATTTTTATTGTTTGTTTATTATTTATTATATTTAACTTGGATTTGTTTTGCTCAGCACTTGAGGAGTGAATAGAATAAATGTGGAATAGCTATGCCTTTTTTTTCTTTTTAAAATTAAATGTCAATCACAAATTATTATAATAATCTATGCAAGTTTAATTTATTCTAATTAATTTTTTAACTTATCAACATTTACTAAATTTATACAGTTTATCAGCAATATTATAAGTGTGCAGTTATGAATATTTTCAGTATAAAAAAAATAAACCATTCGTATTCCTAATATTTTTTACATTACTATTAATGCTTAACTTATATAAAACAAAACACAATATTATTAGTTTAAAATTCTGTAAAATAAAATAATTAAAGCATTTTATGAAAATATATTATTAACACTTCAAACGGTTTAATCTTTTATAGAATATAATAATTTAAACTACGTTAATTTGTCTTTTTACTACAATAACATAATATGATGTGAATGTTCTTTTTTTATTCATAGACAATTTTTCTACTAGTAATTATGTTCCAATCATAAATTTTAGCTTTTAGAGGTGGTTTCTAATAGTAAATTTTGTATATTTAGTAGAAGCCGAACATTTCAAATTTTGGCGTGAAATATAATTTTTAAATGTTTACTATTTTATTGCCATATTTATCGTTATTTTAACATAAAAAATAGATTATATAAAAAAAACATACAAAAAAAATATCTAATTTTAAACAAATACAATGCACAAATGTAAATACATTGGTACTTAAAATAATTAATGAACTAGACCGGATTACTTTCGGATTTTATCGGTTAAGTTGCTATAAAGCAGAAACCGCTCAATCAATAAATGATTGATGAACGTCACATCATAATCTTATTTTTAAACTAGCCACCAATATTTGAATTAGGGGGGGGGGAATTAAGTACCCGACAATTTTTTTCAGAAATATTAGCGTATACCTACTAATTACAGTCCGAATGAGATTGAGTTCAGTCATTATTGTGAGAAACGCTAATTTTTTTGAAGTCATATAGTCCCCTCCTTATTTCATTTTTCTAATTCAAGCAATTACAATCAACTTTTTGAAAAATAAAACTTATACACAAAATCAATTTCATCAATCAATTAAATGCAATTTTATTTATTTTTTTTATATGTATTTTTTTTCAAATGTGACAATGATAATTTATATTATTGTAAATTATGATAACGTATTTCTCTATATTTATATCTTATTCGTGTGGTATAATTTATACTTATGTTACAATAGTAATGATTTTAACATTTCACGCCTAATAAAAAATGCATAATAACAGATAAAGTAAATTATCATTAATCTTTATCATGAACACATTATCATAAGTAAACTAGTTGAACAAAAAATTTCTAAAACTCGTCCAAAGACCAAATACATTAATATAATATTATATTAAAACTATTATTAAAATTTATTAAGATTTTTTAACAATCGTAGATTTTGGTTTACACCACAATTTCTGGTTGTGGTTTATGACTATTCTAAAAAGTAACGACAGATTACAATATTAATCACGATATTTGATACAATCATGTGTTTATATTCATAAATGTGACTATTTTCTGGGAAATAATAATATAACCGGAAAACGTTTTGAATCAATTATAAATTAGCAGTAAAACAATAAAAATAAGTGTGTTATAAATCAACAGTAAAATATTTTAAGACTTTCATATTGTAGAATATATTTATATTTATTTAACAATTTATTTATCACAAAAAGTACATAAATATATATAAAATAATAACAATGAAAGATTTGCAACTCCCCATTAAGCATAGCTTATGTTGGGAAGTTAAAAATTGAGTTACGATATATCTCAATAGATTAAATAGATTAAATTAAATATATATGTATGAGTAAAATCTATATTATTTAAGAATGGCTTAAATCAATTTACATTATGAAAACTATTTGAATTAATATTTAGAATTCTATGCAGTTTAACTGCGACGGAAAAAGAGCTTTTTACACCAAATTGTTTATAGAAGATAGGGATTTTTAAATATTTGTACTTTCTTTGTAACGTGAACTATAGTTGTGAGTGATATGATTAAAATTATTATTAAATTTATAAAAGGTAATTAGAACATTCTTATAATATAAATTTTTAATACAAAGTAAATTCAACAGATCACAAAGAAAAATATTACTTGTAAACCTAGGTATCTTAAAAATAAATTTAATTACACGTGTTAAAGTAGAATATAAAGAAATATTATGGTAATTATTTGCTTGATCCCGAAAAACCATACCATAATTTATAACTGATTGAAACAAAGATAGATACAACATTCGCTTCATAGTTTATTTACGTTTTTTTTCTTACTTTCATAGAAACAATTAAACCTTGGGTAATCGAATTTTTTAATTTTTAGAATTGTATTTCTTACAGCTAATTGAAGATAAAATAATAAGTTCTAAAATTTTAAGATTGAATTTACTAATTGAATTATCTATTTCCGTATCATCGAGTAAATTATCCCAGCTTTCAGTGTCGATAAGCATATTCAAATGAATAAAATTAATTTTATAATTATTCTCAATAATACCATTATTACTATTACTATATGTATACTTATACATTTATTACATTTTTTTATGAACTGAACCTGGTTCTTGAATGTCTCAATAAGAGTACACTTAAGCATTGAGCAAAAACCATAAAAATAAAACTGTCCTAGGATAATGAAGATGGGTGCAGCCATTGTTATGGGTAAGAAGTTGGAAAGGTAATAGAGGGAAAATTTGATGTATATTTGTAAGGAACAATAACCCATTGCTAATGAAAAAACGATTGTGAGCGGAGTACGGTTGATAGTATTGCTTTGTCAACAATATATGTCATATTATGGTAAAATAATTACATATTCATTACCTATATATTTTCTTGAATACTATTTGTTCAATCCTGTACCTATTATCCCGTGATTCTCATAATTTTTCTCGGGTTAACCAATTTCTTAGGAAAACTCCTAGAAAAATCAAGAAATGATCTCCTTAAAATACTTCCCCAGTCAGATTTCCTCTTAGAAAAATTTTTATTATAAATTGGAACAAAATTTCTAGTAGAAAAGGTGTCCAAAAATAAATAAATAAACAACATTGTAAAACCAATACATTCCTTGCTCCACTCAGAATCTAAAACTGTAAAAAGCTTATAGTATAATTCATACTTCAACCCCCCATCAATGGAGGGGATTGCTACGCCAATTTTTGTAGAGTTTAAGACTTACGCTGAGGGTACACCAATATCAGATTTGGATAATTGGGTCAGTTGGTCCTATTATTACACCCGGACAATTACAAACTTTTTAAATTGTTTTATAACTTTGGAATTAAAATATATTTCTACCAAATTTCGATTGCACCATCTCAGCGTCGAAAAAAAAACGTATTTTGTGCAAGAATACTCAATTTTGTGTGACGTTTCACTAAACTAGAATATTTGTTTTTATACTTTTTTTGTTCATATTTCATAGGCGTAGTTTTAATTTATATATTAATTAAAACAAAAGATTTTTAAAATAAATGCATAGGTAAGCAGATTCAATGTACCCGCAGCAACGAACTTGGTGTTAAAACTTTTATGTTTTTTTTTTTCAAATGTTTAATTATATATTTTACTTTACTATTTCTACTGAGTAGAATGAGAAATATATTGGTTTTACAATTATGTTTATTTACTTTTTATTTTTAACCGGGAACAACTTTTCTACCAGATATCTCGCTCCGACTTAGTTTAGAACTTTTTCTGAAAGAAAATTGGACTAGGGAGATAATTTAAGAAAAACATTTTTTGATTTTTCAAATAAATAAAAATCACCCGGACAAACGGGAAAATTGATATTAAACAAATTAAACAAATATCACTAATGAAAATATTTAATGCATATATTATTTTACCATAATATGACATACACATTGCTGACAAAGCAATAACATTATTATCCAAACTCCGCTGAGAATCATTTTTTTTCGTTAGGAATGATTTATTGTTGCTTACAGATATGTATATTTTCTTTTTTTTTTATAGCTATAATGCTTTAAGCTTATAAGTTATAAGTTACATATTCTACTTTAATTGTTCTATATAGTAATGGTTTTATGTTTTAATGCTTCTTAGATTAAAAACTTGGTTACAAATTCAAATGGGACCACAATGACTGGCTGGTTTTACACTGTTACATGTACACATCATAGTATAAAATTAAATGCATCGAAAATGATAGATGAGTTTGCAGAATACCAACATTTTAAAGAATTGGTTTAATAGAATAATTGTTAATTGGTACATAATTTAAAAAATTGTATTTTTAGATTAAAATTATGTAGTAAATACTATTTTTACTTTCAAAGTATTTTTTAATATGAACCACCCTCTACCAATCATGGTAAATTTCCAACTATGGATTTAATAAATACAGCTTTATTCATAATTGGTAATAAAATAATTAAATAAACAAATTTAATTTCAATTATGATTTTTAAAGATTTAATATACAGTATGCACTAAGATTTACTATGTTGGTTTATTATAATAAAAGGATTATTTACATATCTACCTATTACATTGGTTCCATTATTATTAGTTATGCGGTTTTAGAAATAATATTTAATTTCAAATTTGTATAAAAACAAAAATAGATAGCCAAGCAACTACATGATTTAAGTAAAATCTATAAGTATGATACAGTAACTATTCCCCTAATAATTACACGAAAAAGAATGCCCCAAAAAAAAATATATATACAATATAATATTAGTAGTTTATAATTTAAACCATTGGAGTAAATTATATATTATAATAAATTATACCCCTACCATCAACAAATAGATATAAAGTTAATTACTCTTCCTTATTCATCTGGTCTAAATTTTAAAATCTTAAATAAACTCATAAATGTTTTACTGGGTATTATTGTAAAATTTTTAGAAAAATATTCTTTTTTCAAATCTGTTTAAGGGAGATTATTATTAAAAAATCCAAAATTGACTTATTTAAAGTGTAAAGAGTAGGAGTAACAATATGAAAATAAGTGTTAAAATAATGATTAAAAAACTGAAATCAAGTTCAATTAAAATCTTCTAAGAAAATTGCTTTTTCATTATAAATGGATTAAACCTGTATAGATTTTTAATTTGCATTCAAAACAATTCCTTCTAATATCTTACAAGTTTTGAAACATTAACATTTGATAAACAGCTAAACTTATAACACATATAAAATAATACAAATATGTAAATATTTAATATGTAATACTATGCAATTCTGACTTCTATGAATATAGATAAAATGCACAGTTTATATTTTAAAATCTTGCTAATATGTTCATATCTCACAAGTAAAAATAATTTAATTACACAAATAAACTATATAATATTATTTTAAACAATCGTTTAATAAATTATTCGTTGATATAGAGGTTACTATTTAAAGAGTTCATAATATAAGGAAAATATATACAACTATATATTAATACTAAACAACATAGGTAATACATAAACACAGTTAATAACAAATTGTAAAAATATAATAAATTAAAACATTAAAAATAAGAAGTATATATTATTAGGTTACTGTTACTATTAATTATTTTTGGTATTTATCATATAATTTCTTTAAAATGGGTATATATCTGCATATATATTTTTTAGTATAATAAAATAAAACTAGCACAGCATGCTTTTTAAAAGAATCATAATTTAAACAATATACCTAAACATATTTTATACATTTAGTTCTATATTATATCAAATCAGTCTGTATTTTTATAAAAAAAAAAAAATATAAAATACAATTCACTTAAGTACCTACCTATATAATAACATAACAGCATTATTTTTTCATGACAGCAAAGTGTTAGTTATAATATTATTTTATATTTTATTATACATAATTGTGCAATAGTTTAATTTAATGTATACATTCAAAATCATATTATAAATACTTATACCTAATTTTTTTGTGATGCATTTTAACAAATTACATAAATGTTAAAGAATATCAATATGAATTTAAAAAACTATTTAACAAAAATTATTCTACTATATTACTATTAATACATAAATCACAGATATTAAAATTTTTAAAATATATCAGTTTAATAAATTACATATTTACAACCCAATGGTGAAATAATGGTATGATGATAATAAAGATGATACTATGATCAAATAAAATGCATAAATCATAATTACATTAAGTCTGTATTGGTAAAAGTAATTTTTGTTACAATTTATTTTTGTCAATAATTCATTAAGATAAAAAATAATTTTGATTAAAGCTTAGAAACAAACTTGACACTTGCTGAATCAAAATAAAATCAGGAAAAAATTACCACCAGAGGTCAATTATTTATCTAAAATACTACTTAATTTTATTTCTAAGCTACTTTTACTAAACAAAACCCAACATTTTCTCTTTCTACTAGCTGTAAAATGAGATATAGAAACTTAATAGCCATATAATAAACATGTACAGTATACATATATATATCTTATATATAATGTATATAACATTAAAAAAAAATAAAATAATATTTGGCAACTGTAATACAAAAAACTAAAAGAAAAGCACAATTACCAGTAGACTCTCAATGATTAAATTATGGCAATGATAAATAATGATTAGACTCTCAATTAATATCATTAGCTATGTCAAAAGGAATAATAATCAGTAGCACAACATTTCCACACAAAAATATTCACTTATTTTAACACAAAAAATCAAATAGATTATATACCTACACATACAAACAAGATTCAGGACAAACATCCAGGACGTAAGAAGTTTCCATGACACTGACTATGACTATGACTATGACCTAACCTATCCTACCCAGTTATATATTTCAAAATATAAATTAGTAAATAAATAAAAGGAGTATATATAATTTTAAAAAAAAACAACATTTTTTATTGAAAAATTCAAAGTAGGTGTACAAGAAAAAAAATATAAAATAGCAATTACAAAATAGTTGGAGAAAACAATACAATCCACCCTCTTCCACAGGCATATTCAAATGTCTACAGATACCGAATACTATAATACTATAACTAAAGTAACAAAAGGGACCATAGAAGGTTCAACCCAAAAACAGAATAAATAGTTTGATGATGATTGAAGGAAGGTACTTGCAAAAATAAATAGAACACAATAAATGGTATAGCAAATCAAAATTCAATAAACTTTTCTACCCAGAATGACAATGCAAAGAATATGTAGAGAATATATTGTCAAAAGGACAATGCAATGAAAAAAAAAAAAAGATGGAACCAAAGAAAATAACCAACAGCTGAAAAGAGTATTTCAAAAAAGACCTATTAAAATGGAAACTCTTGAGTCACCAATGTCAGAAAGCAAAGAAAAGAGTGTAGAACCAATAGTACAAGACGTAATAATAAATAAAACAATAATGGAAATTCAAAGCTTAAAAAATTAGAAAGCTCCAGGTATTGACAAAATTAATGTGAAACTAATAAAATATGAGAATGAATATGCCAGATTATACATGCAGTATAAAAGACATGTGGAATTAAAGAAATTCCAAAGAACTGCACAAATTTGATTATAATACTAGTACATAAAAAAGGTGACAAGTTAAACTATACAAATTACAAGCATTTCTATACTAAACACCATGTATAAAAAATTCTCAAAAATACTACTAGAATGACTTCAACCGATAGCTGAGGAATGCATCAGTGAATACCAGAGCTTCTTCTAAAAAATAAGTAAACCGTTGACCAACTATCAATCAGCAACAAAAAAATGGAGAATAAATATAAGTATAGACAAAATTTATGTCAGATATTTGTTGATTTTAGCAAGAGAATGGCAGTATACATAATAATATTATTATATATTATTATGTACGTGTTCTAGAAAAAGCAATTTAACTCGTTAAAATATAGGTGGTAAACACTATTTATCAAGTAAAAACATGGAATACATTATAAGGAACCTTTAAAATCATGACAGAACTAAAACAGAGTGACCAACTTTCACCACTCATGTTTAACATTTCATTAGTTAAACACAAGAATTATCGGCTAAAGGGATAAATGATTATTTAGAAAATATTCAAATATCAATCTATGCTGATAGCCAAAACAATCTAAGTAAAGACATAGAGTGTGAAAATAAACATAACTTAATTAAGAATGATGACACTGGGCTTGGATGAGAAACAAAAATTTATGGAAATTATTTAAAGTAAAACAAGGTCTTTTGAAAAAGTAAACAATTTTAAACAGTTAAGATGAGTTAAAACCAAAAAGGAAATTAGAATATAGAAATTACAAAAACAAAAAAAAAAACATACTATCTGCTAAAATAATTTGAATCATATTGAGAACTTAATTATTTAAATTATTCATAAAACTGGAAAAAATTAAAGAAATTTAAATTTAAAAATAATATCTATACATTTAAAACTAATTCACCATTGTTATAAAACCTTAGTTTAAAAAACAAAAGATATCACTTCAAACAATAGTAACCTCACTAAATATTAGTGACACACAACGATATAATTTCAATTATTAATATTGATTAATTTATATTAATATAATTTATAGAACTAAATCAATACAAAACTACTAAAATAATTTATTCATTCATTATTTTAACATATTAAATTAAACACATTTTTATAAAAAAATTATTTTTTCCGAGCCCCATTTATTATTCAATGAATATTATTCAACTAACATAGATACAAATATAGATCCAAATTTTGTATAATTGCTTTCTTCAAAATATGTATAAAATAATGTGTTTAACTAAAATTATATCAAATATCGATGTACTTTCAATAAATTAGACACATTTATATTGATAAAATTGGTTCAATATCGTTGTGCATCAAAATTAAATATCCTAATAGATTTTTAAAGTTTTATGATACAATTGAACAATCAATCCTATACACAGTCTCATACACTATTTAAAATTATACTTCATTTTATTATTTCATTGGTTTTATAATAAAAATAAGAAATAGAAATTAAACTAGAATTTAAGCAAAACTATTATAAAAATTGTTTTTACAGTAACTTTTAACACAAATCTAAATAAAACTAAATTTTTAAATTCAATTTGAATTAGGTACTTATACTATGATATCACTGGTTATAAACACTATTATTTATAATCATTTATTACATTTGAAATTAATAATAGGTAGAATTTAAATTAAGTTAAATATTTATTCTACCTACCAATTAATGTAAAAAAGATTAAATATTTTTAATTAGTATTTCAACTATTATTATAGATTCAACAAAATAAATATGTGAACAAATGTAGTACAATAAAAATAATAATAACAAAAAAAATAATACTACACAAGTTATTATTTGTTTCAATATTAATTATTCAATATTGTTTTGTTGTTTTCTGCCAACGAATACTAAAATACATATGTTCTGGTAAAAGTGTATTTGATAGTCGATACTTTTTATGATAATCATATGTACTATGAATACTAAAATGGGACAAATTCAAAATTAAGAAATTTAAAAACAAAAAACTAATATGATTAAATAAATGTTTAAAAGTCATTACCAAAATAAAACTTGAATATAAACACCATATCCTGCAAATACGTGCCACCAGCCATGTAATTGAGTTACTGGTTGAAGAAACATTGGAATCTGTTCTCTTAAAGTCCTGTACAATTAAATATATAATTACTAAAATTAATTATGAATAGTATAATTGTATGAAAAATGCCCTAATTTTGAAATGCAATAAACAAATTTAAAAATATTTAAAAATTATAATTTACTTTTGAATATTAAATATTATAAATATTAGTATATAATTATAACTGAAACAAAATTTTGATAATTTTTTACTTTAATGTTTTAACTGTAGTTGGCACTAATCTTGTTAAATTTTAAACACAACTTTAGAAACGTCAACAATTATTATAAGTTTATATTGTAATGTAATCATTTTTAAATGTATTGTTCAACAAAATTAAAACAAAAAAATATTAATGTCATAACTATTTATAAATCAAAATTAAAATTTTGATTTTTTTTTTTAACATTAGTTAATTTGTTAATTAATTTTTTAACAAAATAAAATTAACAATTAACTAAACTAAATATAAATAACTAATTGAGAAATTGTCTATGGTCATACAAATTATAAGATTGGCATAACTTAATTTAAAGGGAATCATGCTCATTCATAAAATATCAAATAACTAAATGGAAAGGTTTAATACACAAGAAAAATATGTTTTAGCACCTAGATTAAATAAAATTTAATATTGATTAATGATATTTTACAATTATAAATTCATTTAAAATGCATAAAAGAATGTAATATATTCAATTAATTATAAATATGAAATTATGTTTCAAAAATATGTATTTAATAATGAATAGTTTACTACTTTACACAAGAGGATACATTAAATATGCTCACTCCATGTTTATTGTTTCATTTTGCATGCATTACAATGATTTTTGAAATTTCCAACTGTATTTAAAGCTAATATTTTCAACATTTAAAAAGTATCTCGTATTGATACCAACACAAGTTTTTTAAACGAGAACAAACATGTTTTAATGCAAATTAAAATCAAATGATTTTACTTAAAATGTTGATTTATTATAATCGAAAATTAAACAAAAATGTTTGAGTCATTCTACTTTAATATACTAAGGACAACAGTCTAAAAAGCATCATTTATGTGGCAGCATATTGAGCGATGTTTTCATAATGCTCAATTACTCTCTCCAAAATTAAAATATTGATAGATTGATGGAAATCAAAAATGCCAAACCCAAAATAAATTTGAACTAATACAAGTCATATATTTAGAGAATTTTTAATATAGATTCTCATTTTAAAAAACTCAAGTTGGTAACGTCACCGGTTATTCCTTCAAAATGTAAGTATTTGAAAATATCACGTTTAACTACACTTAAAAATAAAAAATTCAGAACTTTAATATAATATATGCAAATTATACAAAATGTAATCATAAAAATTGGGCCAGTATGCTTAATTAACCACCCTGTATAGTATAATATACTAAAAACGATGTTCAATTAATAGCAAACAAGACTAGTATCAAATAGTTAAATGCACATTACACATATTTATTAAATATAACATTTTTTTTTTTTTTAATTTCAAAAATAATTATTCAATTATAATTGATACATTTAACTTAAATATTAATTTATTATATTTTGATATACTATGTTATGTTTGTGTGAATATATATATAGATATACAAAACTTACATAAGATTTTTGCAAAATATATTATCTATATTCCACAAAAAAAATCCAAAAAGGTATAACATTAGTGCAACAATAAATATATGTTTACAAACTCCACATTTAAATTCTAATATCAATTTGACTTCTTGTGCTAATGATATTGCCACTAGTATACCATAACAAAAATGTTGCAATAATGGCTGTGGCCAAGCAAGATAGATTATTGCAAATCCAACACTTATAATCATCAACACTAGTAACAATAATTTATTTGGAATAACTTTTGATTTCATATCATGTTTAACTATTGATCTATAAAAAAAATATATATTTAATTTAATTAAATTATAAGTCGAATAATTTAAAATAGATTTTACTATACGTACAAGCAATAAACACAATAACATGTTCCCCAAACCATAGGTAACTCATCAAATAACTGCATTTCATACAAAAGTGTCATGTGAAATGCCCAACTGCCAAAACCAACCACTAAATTAAGATAATAATTAAATTGTGTAAATATTTTCTGTTCTTAAAAAATTCTTCAAAACAAAAGTATAGTATGTTAAATATTTTACACACCCATAATAAATAAATAACAAAACAAAAATCTTCGGGCAAACTTTTGTTTTTTCATGTCTAAAATACCCCATAATGGAGGTATAATCATCATTAAATTACTAACGGTATTCCCTGCAATAAATTAAACGAAAATTTTAAAACATTGAATTATACAACTATACCACTTTAAAATGTATTTCACTCACACATTTCTGCAACGTAGTAATTTACTTCATAATTTTTCTCACACCAATCAATGGTAGCTGTAGGTTTTCCCCAATAGCCTGTTTGATTGGATTCTTGAAAAGCCATTGATCTATTTTGTAAGGTTGAAAAAAATAAAATGTAGACATTATTATACTAATCTTGTTCAATTTTATGTGATGAAATTGATTGACTCTTTTAAAGGTAACATACTCGTGTCTAAACTTTTTTTTCACATGAGAAAGCCTCACATAGATATACAATTTGAAAATGTGAAACAAAGATTAAACTAAGGTAAAAATGTATTAAAAAACTGTTTAGTGAAACTTCCCTTAACTGTTGAGCAGGGATATTTTCATTACTTTTCAATGGGAAAACTTCCGAATATAGGGCATCTATTTTAATCTAAATATAAAAATTATGACAAAATAACAACAAAAAACACGCTCTCACAAGTATAATAATAACGAACTCGTTCATTGAAGTCGTTAAGGGACAATAAGATAATATTACAACAAGTAACAACCAATATGACAAAATATTTTAACTGCTGATGTTTTGTCCAATTCGTTAGTGATAAGTTTATTAAAACGTAAGTGGCTCATAAAAAAGTTGAAATTTTAGACTTCTGTCAAAACAACAGAAAGCAAAGATTCATGAGTTATATGATTTCAAAGCTTCAAACAGATAAGCTTGAAAAATTCTGAAAAATACATAATATTTAGTTTGGGGAATCATCAGCCATTGATAGAAAAGCTGATGATCACTGGAAGACACATTTACCATTTATAAATTTCAAAAATGTACACCCTTAAATGTCAGACACCTCTGAATGACAGATGAAATTTTGCTGACAAGTCTCTGTTATTCTGAGGTTTCATTTGTATAAACATTTTGACATAAGTCTTTTTATCATTATTTGAAATCAAATAAAAAATTAAAGTTCAATGTAGGCTGTAAAGTATTGTTATTTATCAATTAAAAAAGAAATGCTAAAAGATATTAAATTAACAATGAGCTATCCCTATTTTATTCCTATGAAGTACAATTACTTAAAAGCAACCATACTCATTTCCCTTAAATGGATATCGGGCAATAGATTAATAGAATTTTACTGTCATAAAAATGTTAAAAATAATTTTTACTGGCACTGGGTCCCTTAAAAATAGCAGATATACACAAATAACATTTCATTGTTTTTTTTTTATATATATTAAAGATGAGTTATAAAGTAACAATCTCTAGCACTATAGAAATTAAATATAGTTTATGTATATATATATAGAAATAGTATGTCTCATCCTACAGTAATTAGGCATGACAGTCAACTGGCTTTACATTTAATAGGTAGATATATTTGTTAAATGAAATGTTAAAAATAAATAAACTTAACAAACTTGTATAATGTTAAAGTATTATATGGAATCTTTGGATATAAAATTGATTACAATGCAAATTTTTTTATTACAAAAATTCTATTGCTCAAATGTAATTTTATATTATATAAGTAATTTTTGGGTAAGCAATTAATCCATGTTAATAATATTTATTCAGTATATATTTTTGAGTTATAACCAGAATTATTTGTGTTTAATTAAATAAATAGATCTCATAAAATGTATATTTTGAACAAATTTTAAACAAGTAGGTAGGTATTTTACTCTTAATACTTAAGTGTAATAATTTCAATTTTAAATTTGGTGTTATAATTATGTTCTAGAATGTCCAGTACCATTATCAAACACCTAATGAAACATTGTAAGATCAACCCTTATAACCTTGCTAAGTATTAACTTTTATAATATATATTTTTTTTTTTTTAGTATTCAAGTATGAAACAATAATTTCTAACTTGCCACAATTAACCTTATATTTTGTTGACCTCATTTTTGTGAGTGAAACACCACTACCAACTTCTAATTTTCTAACTATAGATTATGTCACACTTCAGTTCTTATATGCATTATTCTCATACTTTCAGGTAACACTAAATATTTCATTTGGGTCACCTTGGATTTGAATTGTAATGAGACGCACATTTCACATTTCAATTTGAAATCAACCTTTACATAAAAAGGGGTAAATTAGGAACAATTTGTTTATCATAATATTATATAATTAACAGTAGCATTTAAATGTTATAGTCATTCTCTTCTATAAGTATTTTCTCAACTAAACATAAATATAAACAAATATATACCTAACTACAATATTATGATTAAACAGTTGATCTATCTTCAAGGCTTTTAAAAATCTGTATGGTACCTTTATTTTGTATATATTTAAAGACCATAATAAAATAGTTACTTCTAGCTAATAGATACTAAGTGTTTAATAATAATCATTTAGACATAAACATTAGAAATTATCTTTATTCTTTAGCAAATTTTTATGAATGTAAGCAAACAATTTTTTTTTTTCACAGGACAACCTACCAAGAAATGGTTGTTTCTAAATAACCATATTAAACCAATTATAATTGAAAACTATAAATCAATTATTAATAAAAAAGTAACAATAACAGTAACAGTTTATTCTTCTGAATTCTATGTATGTTATAACAGCAATGTTTTGCAATTGATTCTTAGAACAAATATACAATATTCTAATAATATGAAAAACAGTTATGTTTTATATAATGTAAATAAATTAAAAATGCACAATTTTGTTGTTTAATAGCATTTCATAAAATATCTTATAAATGGACAATTTAAATTTGAGTGTTAATAATATTAAGTAAGAATAAATGCAAAGTATTATACTTGTATAATTAATATATATATAATATTATTAATTATTAAATTAGCAATTTTATCCTTCTGTTAAATTATTAAACCACTTAAGTACATAAAACTATAAGAACCTTACATAATTATATAGTATATTACATATCTAGTTGAGCTCTGAGTTTTAGGTAACAAGAAAAAAATAAATTATTAATAACATCTTAAATATCATTTGATCAAGTACCTGCTCAGACAATTTTTGATTTTGAGTTTTTTAACTGTTCACTCTTTTTCAACAACACCACATAGCTTTTGGGTATTGGATAAAATGGTAATGTATTGAAAAGTGTCTTGTATAACATTTAATCAATTATTCACTCAATAAGTATTTAATCAGATTTTTATTTTTTGACCTTCAGACACTCGCAATACTTTTAGATTGTGAATTAGAATAATAATTTACGAACTGAGTTTTCAGTGACTTCACAAATAAAAAACCACTGTAGCAATTTGTCAATGTTTTGTAATACCCCAAGTTATGGGCTGTTGCTGAAAAGAAGTGAAAAAAAAAAAATATAAAATCAGATTAAATACTCTTAGATTAGTACTATCAGTTGTGTGGGCCATTACCCAAACAAATGCTACTGTAAGATTTTTTTCTATTATCAAAAAGCCAATAATGAACCGGAAAATCTGAAACCATTGAAATAGTTTCAAACATCAATTACACCAAAATTTAGTATTAATAAATTATGTACTAAACTGAGTAAATACCTACTATTATTTTGCCAATTTAATAACTAGTTAAATTTAATTTTTAATTTTTAAAAAAATGAAGATTTAGGGGGGAAGAGCTTTGGGTGATTTTCTGAGGCCTATTTTGCACCTATGTTTATAAAGTTTATAAACTTTTCTTATGGTAAAAAGAAATCCTTTATTTACTATACACTACTGTATGTTATATTTACAAAATTAAATAAGTTAAATGAAAAAATATGATAAAGTATTAAGAAACAAAAAAATTCAATAGTGTAGTATCTTAAAATAATACATAATTGAAATAGAATTAGTTTAGATAAAATACTCTTGTTTTACTAAATAAAACTTAATTTTGAAAAAATTTAACTATAGCTCATTACATCAACAATGTGCCTATGCTCAATAATTACTAAAGATTTTTTTTTTTTATATATATAAGTAAAGAATAGCTAGGTAAGTATATGTACATCACTAATAGTTTCACTACAGATTTAAAAGCAAATTAATCCTTTATATAATAGGATTACCTACAGGAATTTAGTAGTGAAATATTTTTGTACTACAGGTAGATATAATGATATACTTTAATTGAATTGTATACATTTATAGTTAACATAAATATGATACATTAATAATACAATAAAGAATTAAATATATGTTATAAATGTATCATAATATTCTTATACTTACATATTTTATAAATTTTAATGTTAATAGTTAGGTAGGTACCCAGATTATTTTATATTTTAGGTACAAAAAATAACATATTTTCAAATATTATCAATTACTGTCTGTAAATGAGCTGTCTACATTACGAACATTATAGATAGGTACGTGAGTAAATTTTAAAAAATAAAAGTAAATGTAGGATAAATAAAATTTGAAATTAAAATGTTTAAAAACAATTATCAAATACTTTTAACGGCACACTAACACACAAAATAGAGACGGCACTATAGTACACCTATAGTGAATAGTGAGTAGTATCGCAACTCTGTAGTTACTAATCAGTACACAGTAGTGACTGGTCTGTCACTGTTGTTGATGACTCGGTGGTCGCCGGTCGGAGATTTTTTTTTTTAAACGACTTGATGATGTCATTGACTCGTAACAGTGCCACCACCACAACAGTCAATAATATTGTTAGCAGTAGTTCACAATATGGTAATGAAATAATGGCAGATCGTTTTTATTCGGTAACCAAAAATTATGTCAAATAATCTTATGTTATTAATATTATAATTAATTATAAATGTCAACATTTAAACAGTTATAACTATGTACGTATTTGTATATACCTACTATGATTAATCTTGATGGTTTGTTTTATTATTTGTATTTTTATAGGAATTCAGTTAAGAATAAATGACATGGTCGATTTTTTTTTCTCCGGGACAATACAGTATTAGTTAATAAAAAGTGGTGGAGGGACGGATTATACAGCTACAGCGCACTCTCGCGGAATCAACGTGCCTCTTAGAGAGCTCATTTCCGAAAACAACGTAATGGTAAAAGTTGACTATTGAACGTCAATTTACGTGCACGCATTTTACAGTTTCCATCGTCTAGTCATAAATTCCCTAAACGACCATCAAAATGGCCGTCGTCGTCCACGTATGAGTACTAACTTGCTACGAAGATTTGTACCTGTCGCATTACGATTGTGTACATCACAAAATCAGTTTCGTTTGTCCTCGCACATATTTCAAATGCATATTGATTACATTAATTAATATAAGCGGGGCAAAACTTTGAACATTTTTTAGGCATGACTATCATAGTATTTCTCATTGATACCTCGGCGTCCATGTGCCAAAGGACATACATGGGAGGAAGGCCGACCCTACTGGACATTGCCAAAGGGGCTGTTGAATCTTTTGTTAAGGTTTGCACACCCACCTTATTTTTTAACTAGTTCATCTATCACCTTATTTACACTAAGTATTTCATTGGTTTTTCCCCATACCTAGGTAAGACAGCGATCTTCAGAGAGCCGGGGTGATAGATATATGCTTTTGACTTTTGAAGAACCACCAGCCAATATTAAGGTAGGTAGATTTGAAATTAATAAACCTATACCTATATAATATATAAAAACAAATAGGCAATCAACATTTTTATGGAACTATAACTACTATATTTTCAATTAAGTAATAATTAAATTAAATGTAGGTACTTCTACTATACACGTATATTAAAATAGTTATGCTCTGAATTGTATTAAGTGAGTTCTTAAATTACATCCTATATTATTGTTTATTAATAATACCTGCTTATTTTAGTTAATATTGTAAATTATTTTTATTCCTTTAAACATAGTTAGGTACTTGGTTAGTTTTATACCTATAAATATTAACTAAATTTTAATTGTTTTTTTATTTTTATTATCTAGGCTGGTTGGAAAGAAAACATTGGTGCATTCATGAACCAATTGAAAAATTTACGCTGTGCCGAAATGACTACTTTGGGCTTAGCACTAAAAAATGTATTTGATATACTAAACATTAATCGTATGCAAAGTGGTATAGACACTTATGGTCAGGGTCGTTCACCATTTTTTTTGGAACCATGTATCATTGTTGTAATAACAGATGGTGGACGGTTATCAAACGCATCAAATGTTGTAGATGAATTTAATCTACCCATGACCAATCCCATACCTGGATGGGAGATGACTAGAGAACCATTTCGTTGGGATCAAAGATTATTTTCCTTAGTGTTACGTATGTCTGGTACACCAACTGTAGATCGTGATACTGGACTAGTTGCCAATGATACATCTCCCATTGATGCTATGTGTGAAGTAACTGGAGGTATTAATTATTTTTAAGTAAATAATTGATTTTATTAATTTTACAGAACTAATTTATATGTAAAATGATAATGTATACATTATTTTGTTATAATAGGTAGATCATATTGTATAACTTCACAGCGAGTATTAATGCAATGCATCGATAGTTTAGTTCAAAAGATTCAAAGTGGTGTAGTAATAAATTTTGAAAAAATTGGTCCGGAACCTCTACCAATAATTGATAAAGAAAATGGCATTGATGTAGATATGGGTTATGAAGAATTTGGAAAAATAAGTTTTGGAAATCCAGATCATATGAATCATCAAAATGGAGTAAGAATAGCTCATTGTTAATTTTTTCTATTATTAATATAAACTATTTTATAGAATAAATTAAATGGCATTCCAAATATCAATCAGCCTCCTTCCAATGCTTGGCATAATTGTCGTAAATTAATTCATGTCCCGAAATCTGCTCAAAAAGGATTCCCTATGGGCTTTTGGCCTATACCTGAATCATATTGGCCTGAAAATACTATGAATTCTTTGGTATGACAGATTAATTATATTTATTTGTATATATTATTTATATTTATATTCCTAATTAGCCACCAAGATGTGCTCACCCAACAGTTAAATTTTCATGTATCAACCAAGAACCTATGGTGATTGAAAGTTTACCTTTTGACAAATATGAATTGGAACCATGTCCACTTACACAATTCATTTTATCAAGGAAACAACCAACTCTTTGTTGGCAGGTAATTAATATTTATTATCAATTTTATAATTTAAAATTAATTACTTTTTATTTCAATATTGTAGGTTTTTGTTGGTAATAGTTATAAAATGCAAGAAGTAATGCATCCATTTGGGTACTTAAAAGCTAGTACAACACTATCATGTGTTAATCTATTTGTATTGCCTTATAATTATCCACTACTTCTACCTATACTTGATGAATTAATTAAGGTGCTTAGATTAAAACAAACTCCTGAATGGCGAGCTCAATTTCAATCTTATTTACGAAGTACACCAGGATATTATAATGCAGTAAATAACATTAATTTTATTCAATTATTTACTACTATTAAATTATTTATTTATTTTTTCAGCCTTTAAGAAGAGCTTTAACTAGAATGGGTGTACCCAATACCGTAGTGACATCTTTAGTACCAGACACTGCAGACAATGCTTCATTGAGTTATTCTGTATTAAGTTATTTAAAACGTCTTAAAACTCAAGCAAAAACAGAATATGACAGGTATTTGTGTGACTAAAACACTTGAAAACTTGTTATTAAATAAATATTTTATTTAATAGGTTATGCACTGAAGTGACTAACAAACAAACTACTAAAACAAACTTAAATTTAGCTGACTATGTACGTATAAATCACATATCATCGCTCAAAAAAGATATGTCTACCAATCCTCAGCTAATAAGTAACACAAAATATTAAATAATACTTTTAAAAAACTCTTAAATAATATTTTATTATAATTCATTTATATATTTCAGATAAGTTTATTCATTTAAGAGAACAACTAAATGACTTTAACAACTATGTAGTAGGAACAGCTAAAAGAAAAAATGTTGAATGCAACAAAACTGGTGGTTCTGGATTTCGTAATCCTTTTGACATATCAAGGAGTAAACTTTTAGAAGTAGTCAAAAACATGCAAAATAATTTTTCTCATGTATCTCAAACAAGATGTTTTGATGATGGTAACTTATTTTACGTAAATTAACAACATTATAATATATATTATATTAATACATACAGGGTGATTCTTTTATGATGAACCAGCAATTTTTTTGGGGGGGTTTTTAAGTGATTTCTACTTTTTTTATTATTATTATAGAATCGTTTAATCTTTATTTTAACACTATTTTCAATTTTCACTTGCACCTGAAATGATTGTCTGCTTTGGATTTTTAAATAGTGACCCCCCTTCCCTCTCTTTCAATTACAGGTTCAAATAGAAAATATTTTTCTAGAAATTTTGATATACATAATATCAGATTTACAGTTTATAGTTTAGACTGGACGTGTAGGAAAGTGTAATAAATTGCATGTCTAATTTTAAATGGAAATTTGATAACTTATCTACTCCCTTGGTCTAAACTATAAACTGTAAATCTGATATGAGTGTTATGTATATCAACATTTCTAGAAATAGATTCTCTATTTAAACCTGTAATTAAAAGAATGAGGGGGGTCGTTATTTAAAAATCTAAAGTGGATACTTATTTCAGGTATAAGGAGTAGAGGTAAAAAATTAAAAATAGTTCTAAAATAAAACTTAAATAATTCCAAATCAAATCAAATTCACTTAACATCCTCTGAAAAAATAGTTGATTGTTGATTAAAAAATCATTCTGTATATACACATATAACCTTTTTACCTTTGTGTATACTTTTTTGTAGAATTAATGCATTCAATGCCTGTAAGTCAAATGGGCAACTATCAAGAATATTTAAAACGTCTCACATCACCACTTCGGGAAGTTGAATCAATGCCTGTACGACAACATATGTTTGGAAACCCTTTCAAAATTGATAAAGTTTGTAACCTTTCCTTATACTGTTGGTATATATATATTATTATTTTTTTTTTTCACAGAGAATGATGGTAGATGAAGCTGATGTTGACATGGTTGGAGCAGGAAGTGGATCTTCAAGCCCAAGAGCTGGATCAAAAAGAGCATTAGATAGTGGTCCTACAAGAAGAAAACCTGGACCTTTGCCACGACATGTATGTGCATCGCCTCGACCAAGATCACCATCACCTGCACCTGCCCCATTGAGTCCTATTAATTCAATAGTGGAAACTCCGCCTATACTTTTACCGAATGGAGGCGAAACAGGTTTGACTCTATCAAAATTTTTTCTATACATTGTGTACTTTAAAAGCGTAACCGGGTGGTAGACAATGTAGTCTATTATGTACAGCTGACTCGTAATTTGTTCTCTAAGCTTCTGGTTATTACTGTACAGGGCATACTATTGCAAGCAATGTGGTGGAAGAAAGAAATTTAACTGTGAGACTGGTCTTGCACTTTATGTGTATCAGTAAAAATCTTTTTTTCATTTTTATAATATTATTGTCACTAATTATTAATGCTTAGGTATTAGTCATTTTTTATTATTTTGTAAATAGTATTGTATATTAAGAACTATACTGACATCTACATTTGTAAGACGATAGTCTTACAAATGTGGGACATAGTAAATTTTGTGTTCAATTGGACAAATTGTGTGTCATTATGTTTAGTATTAATTTTAATATTGAAGTTCATTGATCTATTACCAAACTTGAAGGTAAGAAGCATTGATGTTTTTTTTTGATATTTTAATTTTTAAGCGTAATATTCATTTTAGATTCTGAACAGGTCGAGGAATATATTGATTTTACTATGTTTATTTTATTTTTTTATTTTTTCTATGAACAACTATCAGAAATTTTACTGGGGTAGTTCTTCTGGGTCATTTTTTGATTTTCTTAATGGTTTTTGTATTAAATAAGGAAAAATGAAAAAAATTAAATGTATTACTTTCAAATCTGTTTTTCTGTAATCTTCAACATACAATTTTGCCTACATATGTGAGGTATCTGGATATATGAGCCTATATGGACCACTACGTTTGTGCGGATTTTATGGTGCCTGTGACTGTTTTTAAGGCTTTCTTTAGCTCAACATCTAGTAGCTTGCAGTGAGTACTCCCCTCCCATACAGGCAAACAGTACTCTGCTATGAAATATATAATAGTTATGATCGATATGTGTTAGACTATTTGAAGCTCACAAGTGGTTTCAGCTAGTTTGGATATCTAATCTTTGGTTTGGCCTTTACTTTTCTTAGATGCCGATTATATATTAGTGTATGATCTATTGTTATACCCATGTAAATTGGAGAAAAATGATACCTTAATAGTTAGGTTAATAGTCACCCTCAAAATATGCTACGTTAACAATTAAAAATTCTGTAATATCCCGCGGTTAAGTCAATAAATGCAACTCCAGTTTTTACACAATCATTGTTTCTTTTTTCTAAGTCTGATTGCAAGGACTGGATCACAACAGTCTCTATTAGGTTGGAAACCAGATTGGAATATCAGGATTATTTTTTCAAAAAAAGCAAGGCTCTATACACTTTAATATCACTCTTTCCATCAGTTGAAATATAACAGATCGGGGAGATATTAGGCGGTAGTTTCTAGGATTCTATTTTCCTAGCTTTAGTATAGCTGCAATGTCTGCTTATTTCCATATATCAAGGAGTGTGCCAGACTTGAACATTCTATAATTTACCTTTACAAACCAGTCTTAGATTATAAAGGAATTCTGGATATACCCCATCTCTGCTTGGGGATTTGCCCTGCTTGATGTATTTGATTACATTATTAATATTCATGTCACTGTTATATACACCCTAAGTTACATCTAATGAGCTAGTATTTTGTTGAACTTCTTTTTTATAACTCTTATGGTTTTTATCAACTGTACCATTAAAATTTTAGACTAGAATCATAGCTACAACTTGGGCTTTGATTGAGGGTTGTGTGTCCTTGTTTGTGTTTTTTCTCTCTAACCGTCTCTATGACTCAAAGCTACTTTTTTTCAAATCATAATTATAATAACTATTAAGTAAGAATATTTATCATGTTTACTTATTTCTGATTATTTTTATTATTAGATGAAGAAACTCCACTTCCAGTAAATGGTGAATGTTACCCTAGAACTATGTGTCCATCACCTCCTCCGCCAATTCTTGAACCATATGAAAACCACTTTATTGATGAAACGGAAGATGACGAAATTGTGCCAAATGATATTTGTAACCATGTTCCAGTGATATCAGAAGGAAATGCTGTTCGTCAACACTTATTAACAATTACCACTAATGTGAATCAAGACATTGACGAATTATCAAAACAAGAATTAAAAGACATTAAACAACATAATGCGAAAGTTAGAAAACTTTTATTCATTGAAGTTAAACGTCCTGGCCAAAGTAAGTATACTTCTTATTTTAATGGGGCGACATTCGCCTTCAAAAAAATTGTGAGTAAATTAAAATGTATAATGAAAAGGAAAGAAATTCTATTTTACTAATGAAACATGTTTTTGGTTTTTTTTTTTTTTTTTTTTTTTTTTTAATCTTTTTTCAGATTATACGGCACTATTCCATTGTTTGGGTACATTAAAAGGTCCAGCATCTATTCAATTGACCTATGTTAATGACATTATTGCTGAAGCACTTAGGTTTAAGAGAAAAAAATTAGTAAACAAATTGGAGGAGTTTAGAAAATCATATATGCAAATTTCAGCTACAGCCAGATGATAAAAAAAAAAAAAAAAAAAAATGAACCTTATTCTATTATATTTTGTTTCCTCTTCTTTTATTATCTTGGCTTAAAAGTATATGAACCTTTGTAAAATTCTACAGTCTTACAGACAAATTTAACCATAATCTGTGTAATAAAGTAAAAATAGGCATGTTTTGTATGACGAAATAGGATAAATGTTTTTTGGTTCCTTTTCTTTTAAAACTTCAATGTCTTCTACTTTTCCATATTATTGTTGTTATTTTGTAAAATGATAAAAATTTGAGGAAATAATATTTCATTTCCATTATTGAATGTTTTTAATTCAATCATTTATAATTATTATGATTTTGTTTTCTTCTTGCTTCTTACTTCTTCTTGAAATTGGTATAATATATAATTATACCAATTTCCTATTTTGACATTTAATATTCAATTAAATGCATTTTTATTTCTTTCGATGAAATTTACAATTTACATGTACCTTTTAGTACAATTGAATATCAAAAAAATAATTAAAATAAAGTTTTTAATTTATTTAATCTAAAGTGGTAAAGTGGTTTTTAGTTAAAACATCTGCCTTCAGTGAATATAGTATAATATTGATGGTGTTTTGTTAAAAGTACTTATACCACTAAAAATCGAAAAATACGTTAATGGTATCAAAAATATCGGAAAAATTAGGAGCATAAACTAGTAAAAGAGTATTTAAATACAGAAAATTAACTAAGTAATGTCGACTAAAAGATATCCAGTCGTCCTTTTAAAATATAATTAAATCAACACTGAATTTTTTTATTAAAACATATACTGTATTCAATATGTGTATACTTTGTGTTCAAGGTATTAAAGTGTACAAGTAATTTTATTTTATTGTTTTCCATGATAAACATCATTAAAAAATGTTGTGCTCTTTTTCTTTTTTACTTCCTGAAAAGGGGTGAAATTTGATAAACATCCTTTTAACAAAGCACTATCTATAAAATATGCAGTAATTTGAATGAGACTTATTAGCTTTGTCATTAACTATTGCAGCATACCAACATTAAAAATAATAATAAGAGTTCATACTTAAATACGATTTATAAATTTTAGGGTCAAGTATTGTTTAATAATACAATAAATAATACCCATTAATGTTATAATTTATAATAATTAAACAAATCTAAAAATAAATATTGAAAACATTTTTAATCAATTTTTTATACATATAGAATGGGTGCTCATCTAAGATCTAGAAAATACAATAACTTTAGTTCTGTTCAATATTTTTATGTATATATGTGTGTGTGTGTGTATATATATATATATATATATATATATATAATTTAATTATAATTCATTTAAATGTTTTTCATTTTCACCTCTATATCATAAGAACTGAGGTTCAGGACTTAAGCATTTAATTTTTTTTTTTTTTGTACGTTATTAATCTAGTAGAGTGCTATGACAATTAATAGCATGTTTCAAGTTCAATAAAATTATGAAATTTGAGTATTTTTTTTCCTTATTTTCTACTTTGTGATTACGTAAACCTTTGACAAAAATTCAGATTTTTAAAAAATTTTAGTTCTGTATTCTATAAATATTACCTAACTTATTTTATTGTGTATAAGCCAATAAAAATACAAAAGTGTAGTTCTATCCATCTAATTTAGATTACCATGATAAAGTTTTAAATTTATTCAGGAGATCACATTTTTCCCTTTTTGTTTATTTTGATAAAAAAAAAATTCATATTTTTAAATGCTTATTTTAAGTCTATAATAAAGAATTTTATAATTTTTATACTTTTTCTTAGATGTGTTTCATAATAGTGGTCAGTAAATTGACACCTACCATTATGTACAACTCCTTATTTTATATATAAATGTTTTCACATTAAATTAACTTTTAAATCTAAAAAAAAGTCTACATGTATTGAATATACATAGTATAATAATAAATGTTATATTATAATTTTATAATTATCTACTTAAGTACTCATTTTTCATTCGGTACAAGCTGTTTTTACGTACTTATTAATTCATTCTTTCAATCGTGACCTCTACTATAAAGTATTCAATTAAAATTATGTTTCAAACAAATTTATAAAATCGTCTTTTATTTTGTAATAAAATATACCTAATATAATCATGATAGTGCTCTAGTAATTATTACAAAAAAAATATTCAACAGAACAAAATATGTTACTCCATTTGTCAGATCTCTGAGGGGCATTCTGTATATTTATATTTTAATAGTTTATATTAACGTATTTAAAATATGGAAATACCTAGGTACCTCCAACAAATGTTGGTTTAAACTATGTAGAAATGATATAATTATGAAATACCTATCTTTGAAAATATACGTTAAAAAAAATTGAATATAATTAACATGACTATTCACAATGGATATTTAGTCATGCCATAACCGTTATCAGTAAGTATACAAAACCCATTACTGAAAACAGATGACTGACGAGTTCAGTATGAATAATATTATTATTTTCGCCGTCTTTTAATGCGTTTGGCAAGTTTAAGTTTAACCACACACTTTTTTTTCATGTTTGATTCGACAGCAGTAGATTTAATGTTTTTCGCAATCTTTACACTGTTTATACTAGGTTTAAGCATACTGCAATTATAATATCAGCTCGTATCTTTCATAATCAAACAATCCAAATATTTTAGGTTGGCTCCTGAGATCGAGGAGCCGGGGTCGGAACATTTTAATCTGCTAAGTAAATTAGTGCGTCCCCATGGTTTCTAACCATGTATTTCTTATGGAATGAACCGTCATCCTTATCAATTGTTAACGTGATGTCACTCTTTGTGCCTATTTTCGGTTAACTACCAAGACGTGTTTGGTAGGATTTTATGCACTTAGTTAGGTTGTAAACTTCATATATTTTCAAATTTATTGGGAAAATCAAAAGATTACTTGTTCGCAAAAAAAAAATATCCTGTCCTAGGATAATGGGGATGGTCACAGCCACTTTTATAGGTGGGAAGGTAGGATACCGAAGTAAATTTAATGTATATCTATGAGCAACGATAAACCATTGCTAACGAAAAAAACGATTCTGAGCAGAGTTTAATTGATAGTGATGCATTTTCAACAATATATATGTCATATTATGATAAAATAAGCATTGTACATTTTCTTTAATATTGATCCGTTTTTCACATTTTCTGGGAAAATAAAAAACGTCAAATTTACTTTTAAAAAAAGTTCTATCGTTGTTTAAGCAAAATTGCTGGTATAAAGTTGTCCACAAATAAATAAAAAAAACATCTTTTATTTTTCAACCTGAAGATTGGTTTACAACTCCAATTCTCCATTCTAATCGATTACTCGCCTTTTTTTAAGTTCCATAAAGGTTTTGACTCTTGCATCACATTTAATTTATCCTATATAAGAGTTTCGGGGGCGTCCTGCATTTTTTTTCCTCCTATCATACCCTCTAATATTATATTCTGCAATTATTCTGGGTGTCTAAAGGCATGCCCAACCATTTTCCAGCGTCTTGCTCTAATCACATCTATGAGTGTACGTTTTTCTCCCATAGTTCTAAGTACTTCTTCATTTGTTTTCCGCTCTATCCAACTTATCCTTTCCATACGCCTCCAACATCATATCTCGAAAGCGTCTACTTTTTCTTTTTGGCATCATTTCTTACCCAAGTTTCACATCCATATGTTGCAACATTCCATATATATGTTTTTATAAGTCTCTTCTTAATATTGAGATGTAACTTTTTTGAAGTGAGCAACTTCTGTTTTTGCTAAAGGCAGTTTTTGCTAATGCTATGCGATGTTTTAGCTCTCAGACGCTCTTACCATCAGTTGTGATTTTGCTCTCTAGGTATACCATTTCCTCTACTTGATCCAGTTTTTGACTACTTACTTTACATATCAACTTTTACTTTCGGATCTCTGGCGCAGACTAAGATCTTCGTTTTTACGCTATTTATTTTCAATGTTTTCAGCATTTCATCCATTTCTTCAACTGCACGCTGTATGTCACCTTCACTCTTTGCTATTACCACAATGTCATCGGCAAATCATATCATTGAAACTATTTCTCCACTTATTTTGATTCCTATGTTTAGCCTTGTTAGCTTTGCTTTCACTATATTTATAACAGAAATTAAGCAATGTAAAGCATATCCCGGAGCAGATATAAATAGTGACCATAGTCTCTAAATCATGAAATCAGAATTAAAGTACAAAAACATGAAAAAAAAAAAATATTCAGAGATGGAACCTACAGACATTAAAAAATTATGAAACAAAAATGGAATATAACAGGAAATGTAAAGACACCCTAATGTCAAATATGTAACTTTATTTCTATCGATCTGTTTTTCAATTAGCACTCGCAGTCCTAAAATTGCTTCTCGTGTACCTTTTTGTCTTCTAAATCCATATTGATCATATTATAAATACTGCTCCAATTTGTTTTCTATTCTTCGGTTTATTATTTTTGTTAGGATTTTTGAGACACGTGTCAGTAGGCTCAGTGTTCTAAACTGTTCACAGGAATTTGCTCCAATTTTTTTTTGGTATAGTTACAATTATGCTTTTGCAGTAATCATCTGGCACATCTTTCTCATATATATACCCTGAGTTTGTTGATATAAAACGTTATTTATCTTCATACTAGCATGATTTCGTAAGAAACGGTCGATATTGTGGAAAAATAAGTCGTGGATCTTGCACCAGGATAACGCACCTGCCCATAACGCGCTGTCTGTGAAGCGTTATTTGGCCGCTTAAGGCACTCCAGTACTCAAACACGCGTCTTACTCACCCGACTTGGCAACCTGCGACTTTTACTTGTTTCCGAAGATAAAGTCTGCCTTAAAAGGAATCCGGTTTGAGTCGATGGAAGAGGTGAAACAAAAATCGGCGGAACTCCTGAATGGTCTTACGAAAACAGACTTCCAGCACTGCCTCGAGCAATAGAAGAAACGAATGAAACGGTGTGTGGCGAGGGGAGGGGATTATATTGAAGGGGAGCATTTGAATGTAGAATAACTCTTATAATAAAACACTTTTTCGTAACCAGTCTCGTTATTTAATAGCCACACCTCGTATTATCAGTCCCAGTCGATTTATTTTGTTTCTAGTCATAAAGCACTAACTTAAATTTTGATCTTAAAATGGGTAGCTTCATTTTTTCCTCATCTGTTATCAAATTTTCCATCTTTTCTCCCTCACAAAGCTCTTCAATATACTCTTTCCATCGTTTTATCATGTTTTCATCATCAACTAATAATTGTCCATTTTTATATCTTATATTAGTGCAATTTCGTTTTCTCTTTCCGACAAATTATTGGATCTTGGGATACGCATAATCTATTTTGTTAACTTTGAATAGCTCATCAATTCGCCACACTGCTGCTCCAATTATTCTTCTTGAGCTTTTCTGGCTTCACGATTAACCTGATTCCTTAATTGGCGATACTTTTGTTGTCCTTCTCTCGTGTTATTGTTTTTATATTTTCGTCTTCCATCTATAAGTTTTACTATTTTTTTGTCAACCCATGCTCTTTTAGGTTCTTTCTTTTCTTTTTTTGTCAACACAGTATCCGCCGCTTTTTTGATAGCTGATTTTATGTTCTCCTATTTTTTATTCAAAGGATTCATCTACGTTTCCTTTTTAGTATTAGTGATCCATGTGGTGTCTATATTGTTCTGCAACCTATGCTCTCATAAGTAATCTGATACTATATTTGTCTTGCTGTACTTTTGGTCTTTGTGGTTTTTTATATCTGAGTTCGAATTTCGCCATTACTAGATTGTGATCACTGTCACAATCAGTACTCGGGTATGCTTTACAGAATTAAAATTGGTTCTTAAAGCGATTTTTCACCAGTATATTTGGTAGCGGGTTATATCGTCTGGCATCTTCTCTTGGGGTTTTGAAATCTGGTGTTTATTATAACCATCCTACTTTCTCTGCAGAATTCCACTAATCTTTCTCCTCTTGTATTTCTCTTACCTAAATTATTAGCTCTTCACTTATTCGCTCTCGCAGAATCTAAATAAATCTTACAAATATCAACTTGAAATCGAAGTGCATGTGTATGATAAATCATGACGTTCTGTGGTGCAGAGATTCACAATCAAAGTGCACGACTAACTTTAACAAAGACGATGGCACATGACTACCATCCAAGTCGATATATTTACCGATAATTTAAAATGTATAATAGTACAATACATAGGCACAAA